GAGTTCTAATTCCAGCATGAAGTGTAATAAGTATCGATTAATGCTCGGATCTGACTCCTGAAATTTCCATAACAATTTAAAACAGGTGTCAGCTTTCAAGAGCTCAGCGTATCAAAAACAGAAAGGTAAATTAAGCGCTAGTATAGTACATAGAAATCAACCATACAGAATAAGTCTTTCTACGCCATGTCAAATTCATGTTTCTTGCAACTGTAATTTGTTAGCTCATATGCAAAGAAGCTTAAAATATGTTAAAATTTCTTCGATATATCTCCGAATCATGACACCTCACATTAAGTCCGAGAATTTTCAAGATTTGCTCATCGCCAGTGAACTTAATGTACTTATGAGGACAGGAAATCCTGAATATACAAGTATCTTTTCTAAAGTCTGAAGCGCATTTGACGTGTTCAGCTGAGGTCCTTGGACCTTTAGTATATACTATGAAACTGTCTATACTATTAACGTCAAAAAATCTAAAGGACTCACAGGAGGATTCTGTTCATAATTTCAGATCATACGAGGATTATGCTTTAAGATACTTATGACTATTATAACGTAGCAGTGGCTTTTGACTTGTGAGTCGAGGGGTGCATGATAACTACTAACTAGTGGTCATGACTTGTAAAGAATAGTATATATATAGTATATACATGTGAATTTGTGTGATCAATAATATACTAGCCTAAAGTAATTCCTACCGAATTTTTTAAAGCCGTAGACGCATATGATGTACCATGGTCCATTAATATTTGTTATAATGTTCAAACTAAGCCCTAATTATAATTCGATAGGCCTAGAAATTTCGTACCAGAAATCACAGTGTTTCAAAGACCACTGATATAAATTAAGCTAATTCTAAGTTCTTAATGATATATTATATATCAGATTTGACGTACAGCTTACCACGTGTTGCCGTTTTATATTAATGCGAGCTATCGAGCTAATACTATAGTCTAATTATATAGAACATTATTATATTATTGAATATCTTCCATGTATCAGTATTCATGCAGGTATACTTCTATATATATAAGCAGGTATACTTCTATATATGGTCATTTATTCTTATAGTTATTAGTAATTGACCATATTGATGCACTAGAGTCAGCTAGACGTATGCGATTTATGTTCTACGTACTCTAATGCATCGATTTATAGATTAAAGGTGCACACATATTATTGTATACTAGTGAAATTCAAATCCTGTATCCTGATCATTTGAATTATTTTAAATATATGACCCACCTGCGTATCTTTAGTACGTCAGCCATCAACTATGAAGTTATTGTTCAGTACGTCCATATTAGTGATGCATATAATAATAAAACTAATTGGTGGTTTACGGAGACTACATAAATAATAAATAGCTTGCCACAAGCTGCAGTGTCAAATTGTATATCGATAGCTTATAAGTTATTAGTAGCACCATCAACACACTAGTCACTAACCACTACCGTCCATGAATTCTCTCTTCTTACCAATAGACGATCTGAAGAAATGTGTGCCGTCGAGTTATCACTGAAGACAAGCTGATATATTTAATACCATTATGATCAACGAGTCACGACGTTAAGCACCTGATTTTCATGATATAAGATCAAAGTTATTTTTAAGCTGTTATATACGGTCGAATTTTAGATTGTTAAGGATTTGTCATAGTTCAAGCGACCGATGCACATTCAGCTTTTGTTATTTAGCTGAATTAGAAAGTATAGGTATAAGATGATTTCATATATGACATATAAAGCGGTTTGTAACTGAGTCATATTCAATATTATGTTGAGCGACTGTCACATGCAAGTTTTCAATATCTAGTAGATCACATCATAAAATAGTAATTCTAGACGTTCTGATCCATGTAATCGATGATATGCCTTGGGGAATTAAGCTAAATTAGAACCTAAATTAGTATATAGACGTACGTTCATAGTAATATTAGAGACAGCTAATTGCAAGTTACAACATGTGCGATCAACTATAGTCGACGATGCATATAAATCTAGATAATAATTAATTATTAAATTGATCTATATTAATTTATCGCAGCGAGCTTGAAGTACATAATAATATAGATACCATATCGCGACATCGAGAGTCGACGAATCACAAATTGAGAGTGACGGCACTGGCTATTAAATATTTAATGTTGATCAAGCTCATATATAATCGTTATAACTCAAAGCTGGAAACCGTATTGCCAATAATTATAGAAGATGTAGTTCTTCTTTAGATGTCTTTTGCTCCACTCTATTAAGTATTTTTCAATACATTTATCGTTGAGCCTTAAAAGGAGAACGTGTGCCATCTGCCACCTATTGTTAGAAAACCCAATTGTAATTTGTGCCATATTCTTTGTTGGGAATAATTCAAATCAGTCTAAGTGAGTTTCCTCTTTGGTTGCGATGAGCTAGACGTATTAATCTCCGTGAGACCTTCAATTTCTCCCGAGACCTTGCGTTATGTATCAGTATGCAGACCAAAACATGCTCCAGCTAAGGAAAAATATGAATTATAAGTCTGAAGTTTGGGCTTATACTTGCGTTCTGGAGACTGGAGTTTCAACGTCTTTTATCAAATGTCTGCTTTTTCTCCTGGGTAGTTCTGGGTGTCTTACATTAGGTTCAAGGTTGACGCTCCTAGCTGAGATCGCGAGAATTACAGAGTTTGTAACTTGTAGCTGCTCTCTCGCTCTATCCCCGTGCTTAAAGTGTCCCACAACTTACAAGGGTATGTTGTCTAGTGCACTGTGTACTATTTACATAGCCTGCCTATATTGTTCAAGAGTCCGTCTAAATCCCAGATCGCTTTTGCCTTCTAGTGCCTAAACTAATCGAAGTTAATAAAACTCGTCAGTTTTTAAGTGCAATGATTAATATAAATCAGCTAAATATAGTAATATAGTGCTAAATTCTAAATTCTAATATACCTGCAATCCAGTAAAAGTAATATCTTATATAACAGTGTTCTACTCAATGTATATCGATCTGACAAGTACCAATATAGATGGTTCAATATTGAATCAGCTATATATACAATGAAGACAGCCATGATACATCTTAATTTGCTATATAAATTGCAATTCTGATCATATTGATCAGTACTAGCCAGATATTATTCGCTCAATATATTATGATAGTCAATGGTCACGCTTTCAAAATGAGGAAATCTAGTAGCTGGTAATGTTTTGAAATATATATATAATTGATGTCGATTACAAAGCGATAAAATTTTATTAATTGTACTCACAGTCGCTACTAAGTTCTAACGTACAGTGTACACCATTATTAACACATGATATTGATGATCGAAATTGTTGAAACAATAAAGAGACAGTGAAATTGATTATATGGCCATATACCCTACAAAATTTTTAAACGTCATAGATACGATGATACGATGATTTTCAAGCTCGGATTTAAATCTACATTAAAACTGGAATCATTAAAATTAACAGTACATATCGAATTTCGATCCATCCTATGGTAATTTGTAAATAGTAAATACCACAAAGACTCAAGAGTCAAGACGATCATTAAGAGTCAAATTTTACTTACACGTACAAATGCGAATTATTAAAATTCACAAAACACATTTCAATCTCCTATTGTTATTATAAGCTGCATAAACAGATTAACCTGGAAATGCAATTGGGTATTTGGGAAAGAAGTAAGCTAAGATGTCATTTCCTCAAATCAGTGAGTAACCGCTGACCAACCAAGATTAGGTTCTAGTTCGTAATATAGACCACTAGATTTAAACAAAAGTATGGATTCTGGAACACTAGACAGTTTCTACGACGTATGAATTAATAACTACGATTTTTGGAACTTTCACTTCACGAGTCACGATTCCAATTTCCCATGTAGTGCTTGATTATAATTCTCAAGTCTCATCGTATTAAAAAGCGTACAAGTGTATAGACCACAACGCTAGGACAAGCACCTTGTTATTCCGAACGACACTTGAAGCAGACATGTCCCGATAACTACAGGGTTGTACATCAATAGACTACGTACGTAAAGAGCCAAATAAAACGTAGGTATGTATAGCGGCTGTTGGACGACGACGTTGTTGGTTTTTGATTGTAATTTTTCAGGCTCGAAACCACCCCTTACTCCAAAATTTCACATCACCACATTTGTAGCGATGATTTCATTAAATTGATACTTTTGACGTTTTGACATCGAATTCATCATGAACTCTAAAAGATATCAGCGCCAATTGTTTCCATGTGAAAGTTATAGTTGCTTAAATAGATGATGACAACTTCTGCCTAATTGTTCAAAGAATGCAAAGAACCTTTAGGATCGATTAAAGAAGATTCATAAGTATACATGGCAGTTGGCACTTCAATAAATTTAGTACGAATATCGTCGATTACTGAGGCATGAGACATGGGACACTTGCCAGCAGGTCTAGTTAAAGTAGTGACTAGTCTCAAGTTTCAACTTTCAGGAGTACTTATACTCCTAACTTTGAAAATGTAGCATACAATTTTTGAACAAAACCAAAAGTTCAGAAATTTGACGTAGAAAATTAGACTTTGGACACGACTTAGTAACAAAAAGAAAAGCTGACTTATGCATGCGAGTACATACAGACGCATAACAGCTTTAAATCGAAACCTTCATAGCGATTCACAAGTTCCAAAGATATATAAGTATTGATATTCCATATTTGATCTCAGCCAGTTATCTAATGTTTGATTGTCTTTAAAACACACAATTAGTCACTAGATAAGGCATCTATTGATTCGATTGTGCTATTGCAAAGTTATATTCACAATAAGCTACTCAAGAATTTTCATTATATCTTATTGATACATATTTCCACTAGTGTTTACAATATAGTTCATCGCAAGAAGTTTAGGATTTAGAAATTCTATCAAGTGCTTATTATTATTACATTTCACCATCTTTAAAGAAAGATCCCTGTTGTTTACTATTTATAAGATATTCAAGCTTTTACAAACAATTCAACTTTTTAAAATTTGCTAGATGTTCACTACATTTTCACCGTTACCAAGTCCAATGATAAATAACAATATCCATCAAGACGCACCAAAGCATACATTGCCCCCTTTGTCTCAAATCATTACTTCAATGCCATCATTTCAACAATACCCACAAGCAGCCTTACCTCAACAACAACCAACTCCTGCTCCATCTCAATATTCATTCCAACAACCCCAACAACCAATGTTTCAACACCAATCAGAAATGATCAAGAGAGAAGACTATTCACCAACCATCATACCCCAAAGGGATTCTCATTCTGCTAGTCAATCACCATCTCAAGAAGTCTCAACACCAACATCACCAAAATATAATTCAAAAGTTGCAACTGATAAATGTACTTGTCGTAATGAAGGAAATCACATTCCAAGACCAAGAAATGCATTTATTTTATTCCGCCAACAACACCATCAATCTGTTTTAGATGAAGGAAATGTTATTCGTACAAATCCAGATGTTTCAAGAGAATTAGGTAAGAGATGGAGAGATTTATCACCAAAAGAAAAAGAGCATTGGAATAAGTTAGCTGAAGAAGAGAAGAAGAGACACGCTGAAAAGTATCCAGGCTACAGATATATTCCAAGACGTTGTGGTAAGAAAGGTTCTTGTCCTTATTGCAAATCTAAACAACCAAAACAACAACAACAACAACATACTCCACCAACTTCAACTTCAAATACACCTGAAGATATGAATTCTATATCATCATCTGAAGAACATGCTATTGCACAAAGTTTTCTTTCATTGAGAAATCAACAACCTCATCCTTCATATGCACCAGTTGCCACACCTGTTCCAAATGGGTACTATAGTCAACCAGGTCATATGGCTCATGTTGCTTATGTTCAAACAACTCAAGGACAAATGAGTGCACCTGTTTATTATAACCAAATTCCAACCCCTGTTTCTGTCAAAAGAGAAGAAGATGGAAATAGCCCTACAGATAAATCAAAGGTTTGTTCATTTGCAAACATTTTGAATTAGATTGGTGTTTTGATCTAAGAGTACACTGGTTTGTATTTATTAGATATGATGAAGTTTATGATAAACAAGAAATGAATTGAAATCAAAGGGTTTGATTTGGCTATACAAGTTTGATTCTTTGACAAATTCATCAACATTTTTCAATTCGTAACGGTTATTACAATATTTTATGAGCGCCTTATTGTATTGATTGATTTTTTAACACATTTTATTTGATTTTTAAGTTTTGCATTTTATTTTAAAGTTGTCATTTTGTATTTAGAGGGGTTTATAGCGTAGTTTAATGTTTAGTTTTAATGTAATAGTTCAATTAATTATTTATTATATTTTATTAACTGTGTAAGATATATTTGGAAAAGGAGGATATACGTGCAACCATGTCCAAATAATATGACCAACTGTTGAGCCAATATTTATAATTAAAGCTAATTCATATATGTTCAAGTTATAAGCTGAGATTTTAATTCTTAGACGATGTTTATACTTGGATGTGTTCTACAATTATTAATTTCATCTCAGCTTTAGCAGCAGCTACTCCACTAATTCATCACATACAACACTAGGGGGTTAAGGTACTATATCTGTATATCTGTATCTACTAATATAGTAAAATTCATTTCTGGCCAAAAACAACATTAATCTAATTTTTATCCTGGTATATATGATCCTGGGTACAGTATAGTTTATTGAATCATTAAGTATAGATATAAGCTGCTAGTCAATGAATTAAAGCCCAGCCCATACAATTAGAGAGTATTAAAGTTCGCTATATTCTGAAATAAACCTAAATACAGCTATTCACCTTTACTTATTTAAAAGTTGACCAGGATTTTTTAAAGTACTGAATCCTGATACTGATAGTGATGCGTTTCGGTTATTGTGTTGTGTCTCAAATTTGAACGACGAGCACACTTCAAAGTAAAAAAAAAAACACTTTGTCTTTGTTGGGAAGGGGAAATTTACATCAAGTTTCAAATAGCTGTCAGTGGTCAGGATTCAGCATTGTTGTCAACTGAAATGTAGCATAAATAGCTAAGCTGGTCTGATATCTTTATTGGTGATCCATTTCTTTGCATTTCTTTGCATTTGTAAAGCATGAAATGCGCGCTGATATGCTTAATTTGCTTCATATGCTCGACAATATGCTGAGTATCTAGCATTTGGTGCGATGATCTGCAAAATTTAAAGAGTCTACAAATATAATTGGTTGTAGAATTCGAAGAACTTATTCTTTTTGAGAAACGGAGAAACTACGTACTGTGTACCTAGTAAGTTGTAAGTTGTTGTAACGTTGTAACCTATGTAATATGTTATATGTGCATTTTGTTCATATAAATATAAATTTGAAAACGATCTGACTTTTAACTTTTATAAGCATTTCAATTTTCAGACATGAGCTGTTATAACATAACTAGTATATGTATCACTTATCACAAAGTAAAAGTTTGGAGCTTAAAAGGACCGTGGTTGTGATTTTTTGAATTGATGAGGGCCCAGAGGCTGAAAGTTAAACCCAGATATCGATCACGTCGTTGTTGAGAAGTTGAGAAAGCAATCCAGGAGAGAATGATTAGATCTGGTAAATATCATTGTCGTGAGCTATGAAATTATATATACAATTTTTAAGTTAAACTTCAGAAAGCATATTATAGCAATGAAACTCAAGTACTCAGCTTTAAAGTATAAGACGCTAGCTATTAATTATAGTGAACTATATAGGCCATCCTTTTATATATGGTACATTTAACCATTCAAAATATTTGAACTATAAGTCGAAGCTTGAATATTTAAACTTGGCACGGGTTAGGTAACTTCATGATCACATTCTATCATGCCATGTGTCGCAGCTAATTAGTATAGCATAGATGATATATAACTTAATGAACGAATTGATATAAGAGCCTTTCAAAACTCAACACTTCAAGAGCTGATAGACACAATATATATAATTGATACCAAAGATCAAGTCTAACTAATAGAAGCTTTAGATTAAAATCAATATGGTCATAACACTGTCACAACTAACATATATATTCATGACATCACGTATATTGTATGTCGCGCCTATGAACTTTTGATGATGAACTCAGGTACTCAGATCAATTAAACAAAGATCACACGGTTATATAATATGGTCTATGAACAGATCTATAGAATCTACAGATCTATAGAATCTTGTCGACGTCCAAGTTTGTTAAGGTTGCTCAAAATCATTATACTAGTTTAACCTAATTGTGATTTTTAGTATAACGTCCCTAGCAGATTTTGCGTACGGGAACCAGGTAGTACGATATACCTTTTACCATATCCCTAATTTACTACAGCGACATTTTTGAGTTATTTAATTAAGATCCTCAAGTATTAAATTGACTTGGTATAACAGCAAATCCTTTAATAATTTCTTTGAATATTATCTTCTACCTTCTATCTTCTATATCAATCCCATGGCAATTATATATCACCCCGACAAGACAAGTCTTCAAGGCCCAAGGCCCGACAATAGACAATCACAAGTAAGGCGACGTTATTAATATTAATTAGTTTCTCAGATTGTGACGTTAAGAGAAGTAGATCAGTAAATATTAATTAATAAGCTAAATTTGAGAAAACAGGATTCAGATTTCAGGAATATGGCTGCTTTTCCAACAATAAACACAAGCTGACTTTATATGTCATTATCATATGTTATTTGTCTTGTATTCTAATTTCAATATATGTCTCTGTTCTCTACACGAAATTAGCCTGAGAGCTCGAGTCTGGCTTCGATGGACATAAATTTCAATACGACGTTGAATCATGAACGATTATACAGCTTTTGATCAAGAGATGTATCTCAACGCTACCAGCAGCCATATAGTCTCAGGTTTCAGCTAGCTCAATAGATTCCATGGATTCCAGCATAAATATAGGAGCTATATATAAATTATATAAGACTGTTTCAACAAAAGAACAAACGTTCAAAATGTACATATGTAATTTTACTTACTACTAGCTTATATATAAAGCTAGTAGCTACTATATGTATACGCACCTACCAGCTACAGACCACCACCTACCACACAGTACGCTGCCAGATGTATTAATCATCACCAAACGCTATTCAATCAAGTATCCAAGACTTTAAAGTTTAGAGTCAGAGTCAAGACTAGGCAATAATATTTAAAGTTAAATTACTAGAGATACCCTAACTTACTTAATCAACTGAAATACTATTGTTCCTTTTCTTGTCGATCTGATTCTTCACTTATCAAATTATACGTACAGTTTAAGGAGCTGCTATTGTTGTGAAAGGAAATCAAATCGAGCTGTATAATTAGAACACACGCAAAGAGTTAAAGACCTCAATTGATCCAAAACCGTAAACTTAGGTACATTTTTGTTATGAAATACCAAAGCTTAAAACTCAGTGTTTAAACTCAAAGTGTTTCAAAGTGAAGCCACAAGAATCTATCATAAAGCATAAAGCAGCCAACTATTAAAACTGGTGCTGCTTTTTCTGTGAGCTCCTTCTTTGTTCCATTATTTTCTCATGCTGGGAAATGGGAGATCAAGATTTGTCTCATAATCTTCACGTCTACGTTCAGGTGCATTGCTCACTGCTCAGCCCAGTTACATTAACTTCTATTCAGCCGTACAAAAGATCAGCCTAAACTACCTCCAAACAACAAACCAGAACCATTATTCTTACTTTATTCTTCAAACCTGTTTATTGTTCAGGTCTGAGTCCCACTAAATATACCACACAGATCTTCAATGAGCTGAAGTTTCAAAGTACTACACGAACAGCTTGCTATAGTATACTAGCTTCCGTTTTCCGAATATTGATAAGAGTTGACTTTCATTGTTTAATAGACGTGGTATGTCCCAGCTTTTTTATGATCATGATTCATCAGACTTTGAAGATTGAAGTCATATTATAGATCGTATATAGAAACAAGCACGTAGCCTTTTTCAATGACGACATATACCAAGTTCCAACTAATACATATAGTACACCAACTAGATTAATAAGTCCAGGGTTATGCTACATCACAGCTATTAATTATAAATTAAACTCCTCTGATCCTATACGTACTACACTATATGTCGTACTAGGTACTAGGATCATATATATATATAAACCTGTTTCAAATACGATTATGCTTTAAACTTTAGACTCACACATGTCCTTATATATACAGCTACTAGTTATAGTAATATTTAATCAATATTGCTTAAACAACTTAAACCTTGTTCTATAGTTCATGATATAATTCCAGGGACCAGAATCCATAATGAACTTTACGATCTGCTAGATCAGTATATTATACGTCCTATACAAGCGACTTCGTAATTTTATGATCCTTCAGCCCATGAGGCAAATATCTATATAGCCGTGATCCATGTAAAGTTGAAACTTATTATATATTATGATACAATTAAGACGTCGTACTAGATAGTATATAGTACTGAAGGTATCGCAAGATATTGCTGTGATGTAAAGTCCATTATTGAATATATTAATAACTATAATTAGTTAAACTATTAACAGTTATAGCTGTATATACACGCGTTAGACTTCGGGTATATACTTATAATATATATTACCTGTTATCGATGTCGGTAGGTAATTAAGCCGGCTCATGAACGAATATATAGTGATATATAGTGATCATATACTTATTAATGATGTTAATTATTAAATATACACACTATAGTGGGCCTAGCTAACGTGAACTGAGCACTGAGTAGGAGTTTGATATAAACAATCAAACTATATAATGTTAGGTCTACGTATCATGAGATCTGATTATATTTGATATAAAATATTATGAAATTTGATCAGGGGAATACTGATCATGCGTATAAACGTTAAGTTGGCATCTATTGTAATAATTAGTCCCCTCTATAAGCTTATGGTTTGAATTTGATCGTGTATATGACTATCGTGTTTACAGTTTCTTCAAAATTTTATGTACTTCGATCGTTTTAGCTACGTCGATGGATCAAAAATACTAGTGTCCAGAAGCCAGATATTCATGGTGAACTATACCGTACTTCTTAGCTATAACGTTGTAATTAATATCAAGCTGATCACCTACTATTATAATTCATAAGTACTATAGTACAATATTATTATATACTACTTTATAAAACGTCTCATTCGATCTAGACTCCAAAATAAATTAATTTGATATCCTGCCCTAGAGAATAAGAAATTTTATATAAATCATGTTGAGTCTCAACGTCTGGTAACTTTATATATAGAGACATAGAGACAATATAGCGACAGTCGAAACTGGACATCTTAAATCCACACTTTAGGAATGATTTTTTGAAGCGAATACGTCACAAATTAACACAGCTTCTAGTAGTAATATATATAGATTTATTATGTATAAGGAGTTTTGCAAATGATAGCTTATAATACCTAGACGTTTGAACAAGATTCAGTAATGATTAACTGAGGATCCAGTTTCAATTGTCCCCTTTACACAGTGAGTTGTGTCCAATGTCCAATGTCTTGGAATTGAGCTAGTTGTAAGTTGTAACTTGCCCCCTTTAAAGAGCTCAAGCCCGAATTAAGGCCCAACTCACGCTTGCAGGTGGCGCGCGATCTGGAATCTGAATCCTGGATTCTAATTTTGTTACAGAAATTTTAGGTTTAATTTATATTGTAAAATTGTGCATGAAGCATAATAGAAGTTAAAAAGTGTCTATGAATTTAACCGTAGAACGTAGAACGTAGAATAACAAAGCTTCAATTATACGGGTTTTAACGCACCTTGTTGTTCAATTCTACATATTGAAAATGAAAACACAAGTTTCATCAACAGATAATGGGATTATGATAATTATTATGACCTTACATCTTCTAAGTTTTGTGTAATCCTTGAAACAATATAATTGTGTAGATTAATTACATATCTAGACTTCTGTCTGGCTTCTGACTTTGACAACTGAAGTGTGAACACTAGAATACTCATGATAATTGGAGCTTGCAATATTTACTATTATAATCAATTCGATCACGATCATTATAACAAATTATTATAACCTCGAGGATAATCAAGCACTGGATGTTTGAAATTCGAACTAACTCAACATATAGATCCTCAATCTATGAACATCATGCCTTTAACCCTAAACCTTTGCATCGATCACTTCAATTAATTAATGCACTGATCTGTACTATCCATTCTGAGTACACATATATTGACCTGGAGTTTTAAAAGAGTTAATATAACTTATAAGTATTTATAACATGAAGCTATAGTATATGTCATTTGTGCGTCGACATATGTGTGTAGCGTTAGTTATATTAATTGAATATAGAAATCAGCTTCATAATTTACGAACTGTAGTCTCAACTGCCAATTTCCCATTGATGTATTCATATTGTAATTAATTAACTAGTAATTCTAGCTGTGCATATAGAGATGTTTAATTTAGTTTTAGTTTTAAGATTCATTAACAATATGATAAATTCTGTGCAGTCATGGAGCGTGTCCATTTGCAACCGAATTATTATTTTTATCAGGATCGACATGTGCTAAATTTTAAACTATTCATGATTTCTTAAATTTATCTGTCACTCTGTGTACAAAGGTATAATTGATTCCAATTTCACCCTGGAATACATGCAATCCAATCAAAAAGATCTTCATGTCAAATCCAAGCTAAATAATACCAAATCAAGTAATCGAAGAAACTTTAAAACCAAATCTCAAAACTCCACAGTACTGAAGAACCAGGTTTAGCTGCATAAGCTGCAATTCTGCAATCAATGAAACCAGAGTCCACTTAAACCCTAAAATTCATCTAGGCAGCTATAATTAATCTATCAAAAGTAACGAAACTTAACATTGTACATTGTTTTTTGCTTACAACAATCCTGATTTCTCACCAGATGTTTCATAAGAAGGTCATAACCTAATTCTGGAAGTTCATGGGTATAAATTAGCGAGGACAAATAAGCTAAGGTGTCATGATCCTGCAAATGGACAGCAAGAAGCTGCTTAATGTAATAGTTCAAACTTCAAAATACTAAAGATCAATTGATTACTTGAATTATGAATGCCCTGAAGTCCTAAGTCTCATTCGGCTCAGCTATAGTTTTAGGCTTGTCCCCAACTACTTTAGCACAAAAGATAAGACATATATATCAAACAAAACCCATACAACATTTCGAAAGTAAAACAAACCACCCATTACCATTGCAAAGCCCAAACCTCTGATGAATCAACTATGTTATCAATGAAACTTGTTAATGAATTGCTTAAATATTTATATAAGCTAAGCCTTGAATTCGCGAACTGCCGAATTCAAAATTGAAATCAGGTACATTTGTCAATCTTCAAATTGAATCAAACATTGAGCAGAAAAAGCTATGATAATTCTCATAGTTTGTAAAGTTCATAATTTGCTACTCAATTATTTTGCACTAAATGTTAAAATTGACTAAAAGATTTCAAAAACTGATCTTTCTCGTGACTTTTGTTTTAATTATAGGGACGATTTCTTATAATTATAATGTTCACAAAAGTATTGATATTGAATTAGCTGTTGATAAGTTGAAGAATTCATCTAGATACCAAGATATAAGGCATTTTTATCAAGAAATTTTGAATAATTATAAATCTGGGACCTCATCACAACCCTATAACTCACAAATTGTCACTAATGAAGATGGTACAATCAATATAGATCAAAGTTTAAAATCATTACCCAAATCAAAAATTAATCCAAAGGAGATTCTAAGGCAGAATGTTGAATTATTTGATCAAGTTATGCAACAACCAATAACTGAGCCAACTGGATTACCAATCTCGAGAATCAATGATCCAGACTATGTGAAAGTGAATGCAGCTTTTGTTTCATTAGTTAGAAATTCAGAATTAAGAGGTATACAAAGTACAATTAAACAAATTGAATCAACCTTTAATAAGAAGTATAACTATCCATATGTTTTTTTGAATGATAAACCATTTAGTGATCGTTTCAAGAAAGGTATAGCTCAAGTTACTAAATCTGAAGTATTTTATGAATTGGTCCCACCTGAGGTTTGGGATAAACCAGATTTCATAGATCCTGAAAAGGAAGAAGAAGGCATCAAATATTTGGAGGAGAAAGGTGTTGGTTATTCTAAAAAGATTTCATATCATAACATGTGTCGTTATTATTCAATGGGATTTTATAATCATCCAAGAATGAAGCAATTCAAATATTATTGGAGATTGGAACCAAAAACTAATTATTTTTGTGATATTGACTATGATGTTTTCAAGTTTATGCAAGATAACAAAAAAGTTTATGGATATGTCTTAAATTTATATGATTCACCAGATTCAGTTAGGTCTTTATGGCCTGTGACAAAAGAATTCTTGAAAAAAAACCCACAATACTTAAACAAAAATGCAGCATTAGGTTGGTTAAAGGAAAATCAATTGAATCCAGAACAAACTAAAATTGCAAATGGTTATTCAACTTGTCATTTCTGGTCAAATTTTGAAATTGGTGATATGGATTTCTATAGAAGTGAAGCATATACAAAATGGATGGAACATCTTGAAGCAAACGGTGGATTTTACTATGAAAGATGGGGTGATGCACCGGTTCATTCAATGGGACTTGCATTATTTGCAGATAAAGAACAAATCCATTGGTTTAGAGATATTGGATATGAACATATGCCTTACGCTAATTGCCCAATGAGTGAAAAATGTGTTGGATGCAAAAAAGGCCAATTTAGTAGATTTAAGAATTTGAATAATCAAAATTGTCAACCTGCATGGTTACTAGAGATGAGTGATGAATGGTTAAATGTTTATTAGTTTGTACTACAATGTTAATGTTATACGTTTAGAAACAAAAAAAATTTCAAATGTAGATACTTTATTTATGAACTTTTTATATTACAGATGTACAAAAATAAGATCTATTCAAATTTTGAAGCGAATTCTAAGTCATCAGCATTTAAGAAATCAGAGCCTGCATCCAAGATTTGTCTCCAAAGGTTATTTCTCAATTTAACTGGCCACCAAGGGACATCCCATAATCTTGTTTTAATACCTTGAGAATGAGCTTCATCGATATAAGTCTTCAAAAGATCAAACTGTTGATCATTTAATCCATTAATATTTATATCTTCAGTACCAATTAATTTTTTCAATGAAGCACTAGCAATTGGGTTCAATTCTTTTGGATATGAACTATTTAAAGTCTTTAAAGGACCATCAAAGAAATAATCTCTTGATTTTTGACTAGAAACAAAGTCATATGGAGTATTACCAGTACCGACAACAGTAATTGGACCCCATTTAATACCTTCACCTTCAGTGTAAGTAGTCAACCAACCTTTTTCTCTTAATGGTTCTAAAGCCTTGATAACATATTGAATCAAAGTATCACCATCAGTTTTCAAATCAACCCAAAGGTATAAAGTAGCACCTGAATCTGTATCAAAAACACCATTTGGTTTAGTTTCAGATGCTGTAAATGTATTATTTGGATTAGCAGCAGTTAATATTTGAACTAATGGGTTAATATAAGTTGCTTCAAAAGTTCTTTCAGCGTTCAAAGCAGCTTCATGATGACCAACATAGATTGTATCATCACCTTCAAAATGCCAAACATCGGCTTCAACTGATTGTACACCATAAGATAGAGCTGTATATAATGGAATATCTCTCCAGTAATCGTTATGTGAATGGATTTGTTTGACAAACACGTCTCTATTGCAAAATCTGTTAATATGATGACCCCAGATTATATATTCTGATTCAAAATGAAAATTTTGTACTCACCTAGTCAAGTCTGAGGTATATTGTGTGGTAATAGACCCTTCTAAAGCTTCAGTAACCTTGGAAATACCCAAAGCCAAAGCGACAGAGAGTAAAGTGGCAACGCTCAACACTTTCTGTATCTTAACCATCTTTGTTATATGTTGATGTTCAAATGAATGTGGGAATGATGTGTGGTTTGTGTGAATTTAACAGGGTCTTTTTGCAGTTTATATACCCCTGAGTTACTTTTTATACAACAATTATCCGTTGACACCATTTGAATATTTGCAACGTTTTCTGTTTTCTATTTGTTGATACTTTTTAAGAACGTGGTGCTCATACTCATGTTAAGAACCACAACGAGAAGATTTTATTTGAGCCACTGAGAGACTTTTCATGGAGTAAAAGAGCTCAAAAATTCAGTTTTTGCGTTACTTTCCGAGGAAGAACCGTGGGTTTTTAACAGGAACATATTCATACTGTTAAAAGAGTCACAGAGGCTGTTTGTTGTGGTCAAATGAGCTGTTGAACTTTGTTTATTATCCCACATCCCACACTTTCCGAGTTTCGTGATGTAAGCTCATCGCATATCAAAATCACACCAAATAACTACACAAAAAACCCGAACTATCAAATCTCTTGAAGAGCAGTCAAGTCAACAGTCAAGGATCTACGATTCTTATCAATCCAGCTTCACGTGTGTATTGTTAAATAATGCCATAAAAGTATGCTATATATCCTAATAATTGTATTCATGCTATGCAAAAAAGTTTCCCTTTAATAAATTCCCCCTATATAAAAAAGTAAATATTCCATAAGTGTCTCAATATGTTTATAAAAATAAGTGAATGTGGTTTATGCAGCGTTATAATTGATCATAAGTAGTTAATTGTATGTGTGTAAATTTGTTTGAGACTAAGCAAAGTATTGGTCAGCCCATCTTTTCAATAAGAGTTTTTCAGATTCAGATTTTCTTGGTTTTTGATGTTGTGAATGTTGTTGGTTTTGTTGCGAGTTCATAGCATTGTTATATCCTAATCTGGTTTGGATAGTTTCAGATCTTGATGCCTTAGATTGGAATTGCTTATAAACATTGAAGACTAGATCATCATTCTCTTCACTTAGTTCTGAAAGTAATGAGCTAATTTGATTCAATTTATTTAATTGATTAGATGGAAGGTCAACTTTAGTTTCTAATTTAGATACTGTTGATTTGAAAACATTAACAACTTCTTCACCTGGTTTACTGATTGATGAATCATCCTGGCGTCTATACTTAATTGTACTGAAATTTGATTCATTACTTAATTTTGAAGAGTTTGTATTCAAGATATTATCATTTTGTTTCAATGCACCAATATTCCTTTTTAAAACACTATTACCTTGATAACCTAATGGAGAATTCTTTGTAATAACAACATTTGATGTATTCATAGATTTAGCCATTGAATCATTCATCGAATCATCATCATCACTTTCAAAATCAAATTGAATGACAGTATTTTGTTGAAGATTTTGCTTGTCTTCAATTGTTGGTACATATTGTGTCTTTTTAACTTTATCACCACCATGTTGTATATCCCATACATGTCTTCTCTTGATCAAATCACCAACAATATAATTTTTTCCAGCGTTTTGAATAAATTTTGATTTCAAAAGTCTTTTAGCACTTGGTCTATTTTGTGAACTTTTTTGTAAACATAATTCAATGAATTGTTTAAATTCATTTGAATATTCATTTCCTTTCAAAATAGGTGGATCCAATTCAGGAATTTTAAAAATTGCCTTCATTGGATGGATATTATGTAGTGGTGGTTTACCAGTTACCAATTCTATAGCCGTTATACCTAAAGACCAAATATCTGCTTTTGAATTGTATTCCTCTTCAAGGATAACTTCAGGTGACATCCAATAAGGAGAGCCAACAAATGTATTACGTCTTGATAAATTATTTGATAATTGAGTTGAAACACCAAAATCTGCAACTTTAACTTCTCCTTTACAATTCAACAAAATATTTGCAGCTTTTATATCACGATGAATTTTACCATTATTGTGTAGGTAATCTAATGCAATCAAGACTTCTTTTAATAATACAGCAATATATTTTTCTTTTAATGGTCCTGCAACCAGCATATCTGAACAAGATCCACCATCTAGTAACTCCATAATTATCCAAAGTTTATAACCTTTAACAAAACATCCATGATATTGTGTGATTTGTGATAATTTACATTGACTCAAGATTCGAATTTCTTTTTGAAGTGAGTCTATATCATCTGTACTTTCTAAATCAACCTGCTTGATAGCAACTGGTTGTTTTGTAACTTTATCAAGACCTTTATAAACTGTTCCAAATCCTCCTTTACCTATTTCTTCATAGACTTCAAATTGATTTTCACTCAGATATCTCATCTTGACATGTTATTGTTGTTTATGGCTCTTTTTGTTATAATGAGTTTTTATATATTGTAAAGATTAATATAAAACACAAATGAGCGAATAAATGGAAGATTGTAATGGGTTTATAATTAAAATAAATGCTCTAATATCCTTTTGAAACCAGTTGAATGATGTGACTATTATAGAATTGAACAACTATTTATAGATGCCTTGAGTTGATGTCTATGATCTGATCTGAACAAGGATCAATGACTATAATATTTGTGATATCTTATCTGTGATTGCTGATAAGTTGTGGTATATGAGATGGCTGGGGTTTGAGACCTTAAATATAACAAGGTTCTTGATAACAAAGAAATATTGAAGAAAGTGTAATGATCTTTTGTAATTCAAATTTTACAATTTGTTTCATGTAACCAAAAGGGGAACATCGACTGAAAAATTCAAAATAAACCAGCTAGACCTAAATTCGATCTGGCATCAATAATTACCCACATACGTATTTACCGTGTGATTGTTGTTATTTTTGCTTCCATACATGAGTCGAAGCCTTTGGCATATTCTCAATGTGGAAATAGGTAAACAACAACTATCCTCTGAATTTTTAACCCAGGCTTTGAGGGACAAAACCAGGGGTAAACCTTTCAAAGTAATGACGTTTGGGAGCAGGGATGTATCTTGGTGTGGTATCGCATTATAACTCAAGACACATTTGATATTTCCAACTTCAAAGTTCAGACCAAACAGCTGTGATTTGTGATGGTTAAAACTTGATGGCGACGTAAATCCTCCATGAATTTTAAAAACAGTCGTACACATAAATCCGAATTCATCGGAATAATGTACAAGCACATTACATAATATCTGACAGAGAATTGTCATATTCGCGAATATTTTGATCACTTTTCAACATGGTAATGATAATTTGGTGACGAACGAGAGACTTGGAGGTTATTTACACAAGGTTTTTTGCCAAAAACATCTATACAAAATGGCACTACTGAGTAATACTGAGGTAAGCAGAATATCTGATCATAAGTATTTGAGAAAATTTCAAACACTAACATTATTTTAGTTTCTAAAAGCTGCTGCTGAGATTTTTGAAAAATCTCATGATAAAAGATCATCAGTATACCTTACACAGAAAAGATACACAGAAGCTGACGAAGTCAATGGTCCAAAAGATGCACAAAATGAAATATCACAATTCAGTGAATCTACTCCTGCCTTATCAAACTCAAATATAACTAGAAGTACCAAAAATTATCCAATTCTTATAAGAATAACTGATGGTAATAGTGATAAGTCTAAAAAGGTAAAAATTTCAACAAAAGTTGATAATGAAAATTTAAGTAAATTTTGGAAAGAGTATACCCAAGTTATTAAATCTGGTGCTACTGGATTGAAAAAGAAAGACAAAAGTAAGAAAAGGAAGAAGAGTGCTAAATAATGAATTGGTTTTTCAATATGTATAATAACTACAATAATTTTAATGACTTTTGAACAAAAGAAAAATAAATATTAACGTATGATTTGACTCAATTTAGACAACAAACAATAAACTAATAAAATTATCCCAATTATGATTCATTATACTCCACTATCAAATTACCATTTGGCCATACTACTGGTTCATCTTTAATTAAAACATCCAACGATGGTGACAGTTCAGCTCTAGGCATTGGTGAAATTAAATTGAAATCAAACTTATATACAAATCCTTCAGGCTTTGATATATTGGTGCCACCACTAATTAATCCATCTAATAAACCTTTTTCTTTCAACTCAACATATGCATAAATTTCTTCAATTGGTAAATTTTTATCAAATCTTCTCATTAACCTTTCACCATTTGATAATCTAATTGCTATTCTTGCATATTCGTTTTTCTTAGATGATTCAACTTCTGGTTTCAAAGTTGATAATCTCCATTTCAACCATTGTTCCTTATTTTGGGCTAATAACCGTTTTTGTCTTTTTTCTTCTTGTTTTTGACGATCTCTTTGTAATGATGTTTGATAAGCTTGATCTTGTTGTTCTCTTATGACACGAGCCAATTCCTCTTGTTGCCTTTCAGCTCTGATTGTTACAAGTGTTGGTTCCAATCTTTCAATTTGACTTGATAATTTATCAACTAATTTATCTGTTGGTACAAAACCTTGAACTTTAGCAACAACATTCAAAGTTGGTGCAGAAGTTGTTGTACCTTCTGGAGTTTCTGTTGTAGAGGTTTTTAAGGCTAATAGTCCCAGAAATGGATATTTAGTAACTCCTAAAGCATTACTAACTTGATACGATTCACTTTCACGTACATTACCACCCCAAATCAATATATTATGTTGATCAATGAAATTAATGAAATCTTCACTTAATAAAGTTTGATTTATAAATTTTTCACTTTCATCATGCTCTTCACTATGTAAATAAACCAATAGGAACCTTGCATCTCTTTTGGCGATATATAGAGCTGACGTATAACCACCTTCAAAAAAATCAATCTTATTATTATTTGGATAAAAATTATTAAAATCTGAGATGAAATTTCTTGCAATATGACTTGGATCTATTCCCTTTGGTTCTGATCTTGAACTATGTCTATTAAGTGAATACCTATCAGTGATACGTTTGACAAATGGGAATGCTGTGGTGATGGTGTATAGAACAATAGCTGATATCTTATACAGTGCCAGCACTGGTATATATAAAGCCAATTGTGTAACATAAACCAATTTATCTTTTGAATTCAACGAGAGAAATCCCCTTGATGATGCACCGTGATCATCATTAGACAGCGGTATATATGATCCTTGTAATCTGAGATTGTCTAACCTTCTTCTCAAACTCTCTAGTATGTTTAATGGGAATGATGATGTACTTGAATCCATATTGGTATCTGGCTCTGGAACTTCCGTATTGACTGGTTGCTGTGTTGTTCTTCTGGCGTTTGTATTCAGTGTTTCGTTTGCCTCTGGAGTGTTTTCAAAATAATGAATGATGGCTCTTTCTAGTTCCCAATCAGTTTCTTGAAGATAGTGGATAGCTGTGTATGGTTCTCCAGGATAATTCGTTATTGAGATGAATTGATGCACCGTATCTTCCTCTTCGCGTGTCAAAGTATCCATCGCCTAGTTGATTCAAAGCTGAGAGCTGAGTATTTCCACTTCTTAAAGCTGCAACACACTAAGTTAAAGTGGCTTCAATTAGTTTTTTATCTTTTGTAGAATGCTCAAAATTGTGCTTTTTTGCCTGATCATTATTATGGAGGTCGCGAAAATACTACACCCCATAAAATATTCATTAAGATACCATTTTGTATAGATTTTTCAGTTCTACAAATTGTTATTTATTATTATCAATATGTATTAGTCATTAAATTTATCAGTTTGTTATATACAATGTCATACTTTTCATTATTTTGTTTTTGTGGCGAAAAAGGAGTGAAATCTTTCAGCGTAACCTTTAGGAAGACCAAATATTGGATTGATGGTATCTAATTTATCACAACCTTCCACTGAAACAACTGAATGATCACTTGGTTCACTAGATATGGTATAAGGCGTAAAATCATCAGATTTGAATTTGTTTTGTACCACTGTTAATCCAAGAAGAACATAATTTGTATGATAAAAATCAGGATATTTCCCAGGTTTATCTCTTAATCCACCCATTTGCTCATTTTGACAACAACCTAATATATAGTTTTGTAATCCTGCTCTTGAAGCTGTTTCATGATCTAAGAAGATATCAAAGATGGGTATTAGTCCACCAACCCAGAAACTATAGCATCCATCAACTAATTTATTTGAACGACCTGAGAATCCACCTTCAAGTCTTAACTGTCTAACAACTGTCCATTTAACCAATTTTTCAACATTAATTGTCTTTGTGAATACATCTTTACCTAGTATTACAAGAGCGGCTGCACCACAGAAAGTATAACCACCATGTGCTTCATCATATGGTACACCACCAAAACCACCTTCATACGTTTGACATTTAGCAAGCCATTCGGCTGTACCTTTGGTTAGCTCTGGAGTTAAAAGATCAAAAAGACTAGCAATAACCAAGGCACAATAAACAGCTCTTGTATCCTTTTCACCACCAAGATGCATGACAAAAGAACCATCATCTTGTTTGATAGATAATAGCCATTTATACAACTGATCACGATTAATCTTATTCCAAGTTTCCTCATCTTCTAATAAGGTCAAAGCTAAAGTTCCCGCGTACGTAGCAGCAGCATGTCCTATTTGACCAACACCACCACCTAACCCACCATCTTTATGCTGTAAACCTAAAAGTTTGCGAGCTGTTTGATCTTTAACATCTTGTGATACTTCCAATTGTAATAATTTCATGGAGTTTATAACCCAATAATAAATCCAAGGCTGCGAAGCATCAAGTCCCTTGAAGGCAGGTGGTAATTGACCTAGTGCAGCATTTAAATATTTCTCATGTTTATCTTTGAGTAAATGTGGCACTCTACCTTCTTCAATTAAATCATCATAAATTCCCTTCACAGTATCTTCAGTTCTTTTTTGTTCTTCAGTTGTTGCTGTAAGTAGCTCTTCTTCAAAATTTGTACCGTTTTCAGTCATATCTATCATCAAATCAAATTGTGAACTATCCTCTTCAATCTCTGTTGTTACTTGAACCCTTCGTTTTCCCAGTAGCTTCAATAAATATTGAGCTTTTGCTAAATCTGAAGCAGATGACATTTTACCTTATATATATATATACGTATATCCAATTTTTGATCTACTGCTACTGTTTCAATTCTTATCGTAACCTCAAAATCTAAACTTAATTAGTGACACACATCCCATGGACTTAAACGCAACAAATGTTCGATTCTTCCTAAGATGAGGTATTGTTTTACGACCTTTTGTTAGGATCAAATCGGGAAATTCTTCAAGATGAGTTTTTTCGCGAATGGATTTTGCAAATCTGGAAAATTTCTGTCAAAAATACGAGGGTACTTCAAATTAGGAGTTTATGTTGAAATATTGGAAGTGTTTAAACGTTTAATCGTTCAAAGACATTTGTTGGGGGGATCTGCTCCAGGTAAGGAATGTCATTGAACGAGATTGCTAGTTCGCTTCGGCTTATTGAAAAAGCGAAATATCAATACTCTCTAGGGGACCAAACTAAGGCAAAGAAGACAGTACTTGAAGCTGTTAATATACTCAATGTTGTTTTGAAATCAGACCCTGCGGATATAGCGTTGGTTAAATCGTTATGCTTTGAGGCCATTGAATTGCATAAGGGTATCACATCGAAGGAGAGACTTCTAAGCTTTGATGAAAGACTATCCTGGCTAGGTTCTGTGGTTAATGGCGGGTTTTATCCCCCTTTGAACGAACAATTTCAATATGTGGAGACAGTGGATCTTGATGATAAATTACATCTTTCAATTGAACAGCAGAAAAAATTGATTGGATGGGAATCAATTGGAGATCATGCTGATTGGACACTCCAGGGAACAGACCATTGGTTTCAGGATTATCTACAAGATTGTTCATTTGTTGCTTCCATAATTTCCTTATCAAAAAATAATGCGCAAGAGTTATTGGATACAATAATACCCAGATTCTCATCAAGGAGGCATGGTGTAAAGCTGCATTTCAATGGATGTAAGAGGCTGGTTGAAGTTGGTGATAAGCTACCCAAACTTAACGGGGAATGTTTATATATTAAGTCATGGAGCAATGAAAATCTATTATGGGCTGCGTTAATTGAAAAAGCATATCTTAAAGTTCAAGGTCATGGGTATGAAGCCAAAGGTTCAAATGCAAGTATTGATACATATATGGTTTCTGGATGGATTCCAGATTTCATTAATGCAAATCAACGTGTGAATTTGAGGGACGCATGGGAGAGCCTTTACACACATTTTCAACAGAATGAACTGGTACTGTCGTTAGGGACTGGTGAATTTACAGAAGAATTTCATCCAAATCATGATTACTCTGTACTTGAACTGGTAGAGGAAACGGGCTCGGTGGTACTTAAAAATCCATGGGAAAGAACTATAACGTCCATTAAGTTTACCGAAATCTTTGAGCATTTCGAAACTCTTTACATCAATTGGAATCCAATAAATTTCCTTCATTCAAAGATGAATTTTGTGTGGACTTTTGGTGAGAATATTCTCTACAATTACCCACAATTTTCTGTTAAAAATGATTCTACTAAACTCAATGAAATTTGGATTTTAGTTGAAAAGCATCTTGGGTACCAAGAATCTTCTATAAATACATTTGTCTACCAAAGTCAAGGTGAGAAGCTCATTTCAAAGGGGAAATCTTTAGCGTTCAATTCAGCTAATAACAGTGGATTTCATCTATCAAAGTTCAAGCTGGAAGCTGGTCAATGTGCTACTATAGTTGTCTCTAATGATGCTAGACAGACTCAAAACTTCACAATTCACTCATACTCAACCTATGAAGCTTCCATAACTAAAGCGAAAGTACTTTTACCATTTGCTAAAACCATTGAAGGTGAATGGACAGTGGAGTCGTGTGGTGGAAATTGGTCACATCAAAGCTATATCAAGAATCCACAATATGAATTGCATATCCCCCAACAGCCAAATGATGTTAATATCACTTTTGGACTTTATTCCAAAGAAGATGTCTTGTTGAATTTTCAATTGTATTGGATTGATGATAAACCATTCACACAGAAAAAGTCATTAATTAATGAAAAATATCAACCAGGATCAGTAGTAAGCTCAATATCTTTGAAAAGTGGAATCAAATACAAGATTGTTGTCTCTACTTATGATCCGGATATACTGGCTTCTTTCAAATTAATTGTGAATTCTGATTCTGATTTTCAAATCAATAAAATATCAACTTCACTTGGGCTCTTCACAAAATCTTTCAAATTTGAATGGAATAATAAAAATAGATTCAAGTTGAGATTTAGTACTAAATGGAAAACAACGGCAAATTTTCATATATGGACAGATAATTTATATTCGAGTTACAGGCCAAAAATTCGTGCAAGTTTATTTTATGCAGATGGTAGACCCATAGATATTAATACTGAATTTAATGACTCGTTGTTTGGGATTTGGCTACAAAATGAGGTCTTGATGGGCGATGAGTCTGTTATATTGCTAATTGAAAGATTTGAGGCTGGTAAAGATGAGGTCTTAGTGGAGATAGGATCTGATTATAAACTTGAAGTTTTAACCTAATATGCCTATTGTTCTACTTCCGACTGGTTATGAGTCGGATTTATGAAATTTTGAAATGTAAACAAATAATTTTGAATGCATAATAAATATTTGTAGGATCTTTATGATTTAATTCATATTAGAAACCCCAATCTCAAAAACGTGTAAACTATTCGTCAATAGAGCTGAAAAATATGGCTAATACTAGGGGAAGAATTGTCAGGAAGCAAAGCTTGTTTAAAAAATTGAAATCATATCCTTTTGATCTATTATTGGCGCTTAATGAACAGAGAGAACTGATTGATTGGGATTCATACTCGAAAACAATAGCGTTACCATCAGGGTTCATATTGACCACCGTATACTTTCTTGTGAGACTATGGCAAGATAATCAAGTTGATGAAAAGAAGCCCCAATACTTTGATTTTGATAAAAAATTATTACAAGACTCTATATATTTCAGAAACTCAAGCCAATCAACAATAGGTCCAAAGATCATTTCAACTCTTCAATTTATAATAATTTCCATCAATCTATTCAATACAATTTATTTTTTGAGCAGTACAAAACAATATGCTATATTCAATAAATCTACACCACCAAACACATCTAGTGCTCGCAAAGTTTCAAGAGATATCAAAGTTAAAACACTTTGGGATACTGTTTTGTTTTGGAAGAAGGATGATGAACCAGAAGTTGATTCATATTGGGAATTGAATATTTGGAATCCATCCAAATTCTCAACTTACTTATTTGTCTCATTTCCACCTTTTAATTTGTTATATTTATATCTTACACAATCCGCTTTCAAGAATCTCATCTTTGTATTCAGTACGTCAGTCATATTATATTTTGTCATAATCAAAGGGTTTCTAGTATTGATTGAAGACAAGCAAATTTTATACCAAGAAACATTTGATGAATATCAAAGAAAGTATGTCAATCCAAAATTATCAGTTGCAAGAAGAGAAGTTGCAATTGATGCTACAAATGGTCCATATGATCAAAATTCAATTGAATATTATTCTCCAGGTAGAACTGAGAAATTGTTCAAAACTCATGATTATAAAGGGAGAGAATCTGTCGAAGCATTCCACCAAGGTGAATTTACACCAGTTAAAAAGGGTACACCATTGAGAAAATCAATTTTTACACCAAAGGGTAATAATAGGTATTCATCATATCATCCTTCACCATTATCTAGAAAATCTCATCCATTTAATTAGACTTTGTTCTTGATTATGATACTGCTACAGATAAATTTGCATTGTTTTTTTTTTCTTATATCATCTATTATGATGTTATATACATTTCTAAGTATATGATTATTACTTACCATGCATGCTAAAATTACAATTTTTATTAGTTTATCAGTTTGTAGAATGTAAGTGATCAAGCAAATTCAAATATAAATTAAAGATCTTCCCAGCCAAAGAACCAATTACTAACTTTACTTAGAATGTTAAGATTGTCATTTCCATCAGGTTTGATTTCTCTTCTTTTAGAATAAATGCCTTTTGTATCTTTTGTTGTAGGTTTAACAAAGATTTGATCATCATTCTTAGCTTGAATTCTTTGTTGTAGGTTGTTCGAATAGTTTGGTAATCCATCAACTTGCATTGTGTTCTGTTTCTGTTGAACAAGATCACTTTCACCAATATTATCATTATTATTAATTGAGATTGATGCTATATTTTCAATAGCTTGTTTGGAATATGGAACACAGCCAATCATTGAACCATGGAAAACGGTACCACTTTCTTCCAGAGCTCTCATAGCAGATGCCTTATTATCATATGTCAATTTAACCCAACCATCACCAGTATAAATTGGATAAGTTTTGGTTTTTTGTTGTGTAAACAAAGGATCAACTCTTGTGACTTCAAAATCTTCTAAGATTTTACCAAATTTAGCAAAATGTTTAATAACTGAGTTAGCGATGGATTCGGGGTAACCGAAAACCAAAACAGCTGATTCAGAATCAGTTCTTAAAGGGCTTGAACTTATTGCTTGTGGACTATCTAAAGATTTTGAAGGCGTTGAAAATGCAGAATCACTTAGATGTGAAGGTAAGAAATTTTGTGAATATTTCAATGGTGTCCCACTATTACTCAGTGAAATGCTTTTGTTTGAATCTTTGAAAGCGTTATGATTATTTGAAATCAAACTTGCGTTACCATTAGTTGTATCATTTGCAAATGACAGATGACCCTCTGATAAATCATCTCTTTTCAAATCAGAAATTGTTCTTGAAGGTGGTAACTCATCTGAAAATGCTTGAACATGAGCTAATTGAGCAGTGTTTCTTCTAGTACCAAAAGTTAAAGTTTTAAAACCTGGATTTGAATTTGAGCTCTGTTTGTTTTTATTTAAGAAAGAAGTTGATTCATTATCAATATCACTAATGGTTTCTCTTTTCACTGCATGTGACGGGATGGCCCTTCTTCTTGGATTATTGAACCAGAGAGGTTGGGTTTGTTGTTGAGCAGCATTTGTCTTTTGGTTAATCACAGCTAAAGAAGGGTTTGGTGAATCAAAGCTCAAATCAAAAGATTGATTACGAGATGGAATTCTTCTATTTGGTGAGTATGCTTGTGATGTGCTTGTATTGGCGCTGTTATTGATATCATCACTAGATCTATCTGCAGAATCCAAAGTACGAGCTTTTAAAGATGAGAATCTTGATTGTTGATTATCTTGATTTTTGAAAATATCAAAATTATTCTGATAAGAGCTACCAAACAAATCCTTAGAATAGGATTGGTCTGAGCCTCTGTTCCCAAATGCTGATGACATTTACTTCAACCACAATTCTTCAAAGATCCTCAAGAGACAGCTTAATCAATTGCTTTGTTTATGGAGAGCAGCTCATCAAGTCTTATTTCAGTAAGAGTTCAAATCAAAACAAAAAAACTCCTGACTCAGCAATGACATAATCGAAATCTGAAAAGGATCTGTAAACGCCGGGTTACTAAAATTTGTCGCGCGCTGCCGCGAATACGTTTTGCAAATAATCACAAGACTTTCGCGAAAAGTGATTTGTTGATTTTTGGTGGCCATTGAAATCAAAAGATCTTGATGGCAAATATTGGAATCTAACATTGTGGAACTAGACAACCAAGAGGTCAATTGAATTCTTAAATCACAAGAGCACATAGGATGACTGTCCCAACTTTAGAAGATGCCAGAGCAGCTGTTAAGCAAGGTAACGAAGTGAAAGCTGAACAATTGTATCAACAAATCATTCAATCTAAACCAACTACACATGATTTCTCAAATCAAGAAACTGCTATATTTGAACTTGGTAATTTATACAAAGATGAACAGGCAATTGAAAAATTAACCAATTTCATCCCAGAAGCAAGATCTGTTATAAGTAGTTTTGCTAAATCCAAAGCTGCCAAAACTATTCGTTATTTGATTGATTTATATGACAAAATTCCAAATTCAACAGAAGCTCAAATAGCTGCATTAAAAGATTCAATCGAATGGTCTGTTAAAGAAAAAAGATCATTTTTGAACCAATCATTACGCTTAAGATTAGCTAATGTTCATTATGAAAAAAAACAAGAATATCAAGCCGCATTAGCCATCATTAACGCATTACTAAGAGAATTCAAAAAATTAGATGATAAACCATCATTAGTTGAAGTTCAATTATTAGAAGCTAAAGTATATCACTCATTAAGAAATTTGGCCAAAGCAAGAGCAGCCTTAACTTCTGCAAGAACATCCGCTAATGCAATTTATTGTCCAACATTAACTCAAGCTGAATTGGATAACATGAGTGGTATCCTTCATGCTGAAGATAAAGATTACAAAACAGCTTATTCATACTTTTACGAAGCTTTCGAAAGTTATAATACTCAAGATGATGAAAAAAATTCAATCAAAGTATTAAAATATATGCTATTATCCAAAATCATGTTGAATTTAATTAATGATGTTAAGCAAATAATGACATCAAAATATGCATCAAAATATGTTTCAAAGGAAATTGATGCTATGAAAGCTATCTCCCAAGCTTATGATAACAGATCTTTGAAAGAATTTGAGCAAGCTTTAGTTGTTTATGGTAAAGAATTGTCTTCAGATCCAATAATTAAATCACATTTCAATGCTTTATATGATCAATTATTAGAACAAAATTTAGTTAAATTAATTGAACCATTTTCTGTTGTTGAAGTTAACCATATATCTAAAATGATCGGTCTTGATATAAAACAAGTTGAAGGTAAATTAAGTCAAATGATTTTAGATGAAGTATTTTATGGTGTTTTAGATCAAGGTAATGGTTGGTTATATATTTATGATAAACCAAAAGTTGACGCCACTTATGATTCAAGTTTAGAATTAATTAACCATATGTCAAATGTGGTGGAATTACTTTATGAAAAAGCTGCAACTTTAAACTAAGTTGGATTTCGTAGAGTTGTATAAAATTAATGATGAATATTTTAAAAACAATGAGAAATTCAATTATACATTGTAGATTTCATTTTTTCCTTATTATACACGTTGTGCCACTAATCATATGAATTAATAACCATCATCAGCAGCCAATGCAGCACAATCAGCAATAAGTTTCAAATACTCCTGCAATCTACCACAATTTTGAAATAATGTATAAAATTTAGAACTTTCACTTGCAACAACATTAACCAAATCTAATGCATCTTTAAGATATGAGTTTCTATATTTTCTACCATCAACGTAAATGTTGTGCAATTGAATAATCAAATATGGTATATATAAAGAACGTAATTCTTGAATGATTTGGGTTTCATAATCAGTATATGATAATTCCAGAAATAATGACTCAATTAATGAATGTAATTGTTGTACAATTGTGTTGATATATTCAATATTAGCGATTGGACCATTAACTTTAGGTCTATTAGCAAAAGCATTTATACTTGAAAGACCTCTAATTAATGCATCATACTGTAATAATTCATTTCTTTCATTATCTGAAACTGTTTCATCAGCAAGAACACCATATTGTTCAACATCATAATTTTTCAACAGTTGTGGTAATGGATTTCTCGATGCGAATTCTTCAGCTGCCTTTGTTCTACCTGTTAAGAGAAATCTTCTAAATAGTGAAATACTTGCATGAATAGCATCAGAATACATCTTAGCTTCAATGAACCATTCAACACCTCTGATCAATTTGTTATCAATTTCATCCGTTTCTTGTAAAGTCACACCTGAATTGATTTGATAGTGTTCTTCTGTAGTGCTGAAAACTCTTTCCACGGTTCTCTTTAAGATATTTTCTAATGGTAAATTGTATTGTCTGCTTAATTTTAACTGGTTAGATCTTTCTTCTGGATCAAACAAATCAATTAAAAATAATGAATAAACATCTCTTGCTTCAGTTTCGGTTAAAAATGAAATATAAATCGGAATTAATTCATATTGTTCATATAATCTAAGAATTAATATATATGTAGTCAATAATTTGAATTTATCCTCATTACTAACTGCATCTGGATGTAATAATGAAATGAAGATTGCTAAATGTGTCACAACTCTTAAAGCATATGGCTCTGAAAAAATTTCATTTGATTCTTCAATACCCAGCATAACACTTCCAACAAGACTTAATGATGAGTGAATGATTGGACTTATTTTGTTTGATATTACTGAAGCTATAAGGACACGTAATGGATGTTCACTTTCATCTTTTAATCTTTGTGATACAGAATTTAAAACATCTTGAACCGATAACTCACTTCTTGGGATTGTTAAAATTAAATCTTCATTATTAATTTTACCATTATCAATTAATGTGCTTTCAATTTCACTTGTTAAAATGTGATTCAAATAAACCAAAAGTTGTGAATCCCAAGTATTTGTTAACTTCAATGGACTTAAGTCACCAATTAAATATCCATAAATTGCTCGTTCATATTCATTAAGCCCTTCGTTTTTAGAAAGTAAATATACAGTTCTTCTCCAAAGAGCTTTTCTTTTGATACCTTGTGTTTTTTCGTCTAATTCACTCATTTGTTTATCAACAACAGGGTCTAAAAATTCATTCAATCCTGCCAATATCATTCTTAAAGTCCAATTATTTGTTCTTGTGCATTCAGCTTGTGCTTCATCAAATCTTCCTGCAAGCATTAATTCAAACACATACTTGAAAAACACAGTATCTTCTTCTTGATCTTTTGGATTGATTGGTTTATTAAGACGTAACGAAGCATCACTATCTAAATTCTCTAGTGTATTGGACAATTGTGTATTTAGCCACTTTGAAGTTGACAAATTCGGTCTTTCAGGCTCTAATGCACCTTCTTGTATCCATAATATAAGTAACCATATTTCACCTAATTTATCACTTTCTGTATAGAAGTTTTTTTCATGAACAATATTGGAACTGAATGTATATGTTGGTACCATTTCAGCTTTTTCAGAATTACGATAACTAATCAACAAATCAACAAGATGCCAAAGTTTAGCTTCTAATTCCCAATTTTGATATTCCACTTTCGAATCTTCATCTGATGCTACCTCGTAAGCTTTTGAAGCAGCTATTGATCTATATTCTTTAACAATATCAAAAACATCTTTAGTATTGTTTTGTTTGAAATCCTTCAATGTATCAGCAAATTTGGCTAAAATAACTGGATCCTGAAGCTCAGAGGCATGAGAGCCCTCAATATCAGAAGACATTCTCCGAATAAAACACCAGGTAACAAAACAGTTGATGTTTTTAATAGGAATCAGTTCAAAGATTCAGATCGACTTCTATGTTTGAATTTGATTTTATAAACATAACAAAAAATTGGAAAGTATTATATAATCAAGCTCCGGATTTGGAAGTATACCGCATTCGGAATAAACAACATAGGAAACTACAATTAATTTTGGAATATTAAGCAAATGATATTATTTTATTAGACATTAACGACTTTATTAAAGATAACTTACTATTAATTATTGTATAAAAATGACTATGAATGTTTTAATGCATGTGATTTTGTATTATTGAGAGTTGATTTTAGTGACAGAGCCATTCAGCAAAGACACATAAACTTGAACCATTATCAACAGAAACTAAACCTCTCCAAGTACCGATTTCATTACATTTGACTGGTAATTCCCATAGTCCAAATGGTGTACTTTGATCCTTCTTATTGAATTTGATAATTTTCCCTGAAGGAGACTGCAGTGCTATTTTAGTTCTTGCTGTTGAAGTTGATAATCCCATTGATGGGAATTGAGAAAGACTGAAAACATATTCACCTTTACATGATAAGTTTCTATTTTGTGGTTGCTTAATGTACAAATCATTCAGTTGTGCTGGAACTGTTGGATATCTGGTGACAAATTCTAATGGTCTATACTCACCTTCATGAACAATTGGAATGACCATTGATAATGGGTGAACATTTTGAATTGATTTTTGAGTACCTTTCAAGCCTGAAAATATATTAACAAATCCCGTATGTTGATTATCACTTAAATGACCTTTGATTTTACAAAAACGATCATTATGTTTCCAGTAAACTTGAGCTAAAGTTGGAGTTGATGATAACTTTGTTTGAACTGTTGCATTTACTTCAATATCTTTAGGAATTTTTAAATCAATTTCAAAAATCTCATAATCATTCAATCTGGTCAATGCATTACTGAATTTATGAATCTTCAGACCGTTCTTGAAGAAGGCAGGGAAACATGGTGGTAATGCTAACGCAACCATTTGGTCAATTGGAGGGACGATATGTTGATCTTCAAACGCATCTGGAATATGTGTATATATTGAATCCAATGGCTCTGTTAAAAAATAAAAGCTCTCATTTGGTTCATCTGGTAAATTTGGTAAAATTTCATAAACTGGATTTGTTAAATTACCCATGGATACATCAATGAATCTCCATTCTCCATTAATGACAACAGCATTCCAATAATGTTTCACTATGGACTGTGGAGTCTTCAGAGATCCTGGTACAATATCACAGTTCAAACCCATAGCATCTGCTAAACTTTTAAATAAAAATGCCATACCATAAGTATCTGAGCCTCTTTGCTTGAAAATCATTTCAACATTTGGTATATAAGGTTCATCATTATATGAGCTATTAACTATTGTAAAATGTTGTGTACAGAACACAAAAAGAGCTCTTAAATATTCCAATTTACTAGTATATTTTAATCCCAATTCATTAGTTATGAAAGCTTCTGGGGATAATACGGTTGACCTTATTTGTAAATTCCCGACATAATGATCAACATGTTTCAAACTAAATGCATGTAAATCAAATTTTTGACCAGTTTGAAATACCTCGTTGTTATTGATTGTTGATAATTGTTTATGAGGTTCAAAAATGATATAACCTTCATTTTCCCTGACTCTTTTTTCTCTTAATTGACGCTCTTTGGCTCCAAGAGAGTTTGCTCTATTCAAATCAACTTTAAGTTCAATCCATGAATTTATCTCTTTGTCTTCCGTATTCATTTCACCAACACCTCTAGTTAAATCATCCATAACTGGTAATGGGGGAGCATCTTTAGCTGTGAACATTTTTTTGAAAATACCTGTTGGTTTTTTTAATTTTTTCTCTTCAACTAATAAATGATTACCAGATCCACTTGATTGTAGGTTTTCTTTTTGTTTCAACTGATCCTCATACCTATGTCTTGCAAAACTTCCTGCACTTGTAGCACTGAAATCACTCAATGCATATGAGCTATTATGTGAATTTGAAGAATTTGAAAAATATGATCCATTTGAATAGCTGAAGACGTTTGATGATTGAGAAGCTGTAGATTTAGATTGGTTTAAACTTTCTGGATCATAAGGTGCAATGAATTCAGAGTTTTGCGAATCTCTTAATTTGTTTTGTGTAGCTTGTTTCAATAGCACTGATTTTCTATTTGAATAGTCATTAGCATTATATGGATTTTGTGGTGCAAATGGATCAAATGATTTTAAGTTTTGAGTTGATTGAGATTTGACGGGCACATAATGTTGAGGTGGTGGAGGTGGTGGAGCTGCAGAAGATGATGAATACTCTTGAACTCTTCTAGGACTTGGTGTATGATGCAGATTAGTTGATGACTGGGTTTGTGGCATTCTTTGATTATATCTCTGTTGATGTATGTGCTGTTGTTGTTGAGGTTGCTCTAAACCAACAGGTACAGAATATGAAGTAGGTAAAACCTGCGTTGGATATGGGGGTTGCTGTTGCTGAGCTATTTCATGACGATATGGGCTTTGTGGATTATATTGGTTTGGGATTCCAGCAGATGGACTATAGTAATTTCTTGAAGATTGGAAACTGAATTGCATATCATCATCTTCTTCTTGATTAATCATGGGTACAGGTTTATTTCTTCCATTGTTTTTCATCATTGAAGCTTTAGCACTAGGACTAGCAAATGGTGAAGCTGTTTTTGAAGCACTTCTAGGTGATTGGTGTGCTGTCATACTGCTATTTGCAACCCTTGTTGGAGAACTTTCTAGTGATGCTGTACCAGCTCGACTATTATCTCTAGTTGATGGACTAAAAGGTTGAAGATCTGATTTGATAACTTCAACATAATTGGAAGGGAAGTTACCAGTCATCTTGTTTCTCTTAAGCTTCCCATGCCACCAATTACCATCCCCTAAGCTATCAACCTCAATAGTGTCACCTTCTATGAAGCCTAAATCATCTTCTTCGACACCACTCCATGAATATATTGTCTTGACTCTAAACGGCGGGTTTGGTACAGTCATAACTTGTGCCTTTGATCTTTCCGTATTCACAAGTTATATTAATACCTTTCTGATTGTATATCAAGACTTTATAAGAGAGAGATAATAAACCAACGAGCACAAATGAAACTTTCTTTCTGCAATTAACTTTTTTAGGCTTCTGAACTGAGATGAGATTTGGTTCTAAAGCGAAGAGTAAACAGAGATTCGAGATATGGTAACGCCACGCTTCAGGACCCAAAGGGGTAAATTGTCAATATTTGTTACGTCAGCGAACCCTGGCTACTTATATATAGAATTATTGTGATCTGAAGAGAAATTGAAACTTGAAACTGTTGGTTTATGTAAGAAGCTCTGACCTGTACTGTTAGTTCATAGCTGCTACTTTCCCAATTTTGGTCGTCCCTCCAAGAGTAACATGCACTCTTATAAGCCTTAAAATTCGAGTATCGAGAGATGAAAAGTATCAAATCGCCATGGTAACGAAAGAATTACAATTTTAAACTACAAATTGGAAAAAGGTACCTTTGTGATTTTATTATATTAATGATTTGATCAAAGTTTGTTCTCAATATCTCCTAAATGAGTGAAAGAGCTGTTAAATTATACCTTATCTACTTCAGCTTTAGCCTCTTCCCAAAATTCCAAGTTTTTCCTTGACCAGTCCAAAATACTACTGCTATAAGCCAATATCATTTTCTTCAAATCTTCTTCCTTTTGTATTTGAAACCTCTCCAATTCACTATGGACAGATTCTGTTACCTTCTTCAAATCATTCTCAGCAGCCTCAACTGTCTGTCTTAATTGATTTATATCATCCTTGGTTTTGGTATAATTATTATGACGTGTGACTTCTGGGTCTGGTTCTATGGCTTCTTTAATTGCACTACTTATTTTGGAAATACCAGGTATTTTGAACATTGATGTTTTCTTGTGTTCCAATGGTGTTATCATTGAGCTTTGACTTAACCCAGCATTTGATGCTGCTTTATTATGAGCTTCTCTTTCAGCTTGTTTCCGATCAAAATTTATTTTCCCTGTCTTACCACTCTCAGCATTCAAAGCTTCATCAATTCTTCTAGATTCTTCTTCAGTTCTCTGTAACAAATTCAATTGATTGTATTTATGTTTGAGCGTACGCGCTGTAATGTCCAATTGTAGTGATTTTTGCTGTCTAAATTTGATGATATCCTTCACAACACTAGCGAAATGTACAGATTCTCCTAATGGTTCAGTAAATTCAAAATTCAAAGTATTTACTAATGTTTCAGTTGATAAATATGAATTATCATGAACTTGACCAATTTTCTCTAAGATATTTGCTAATTTCCCTGTTTCTTCAAGACTGAAAGCATTAAAAGCAGCCCCGGCTTCTGAAAACTCATTTGAGACATCATTTATATGTTTGACAACTTTCTTATTTATTCTATCGATACCATTTGAGATAACTGATTCATATTCTTTAGCATTAGCTTCAACTTGATTAAAATGTGCATCATCTGCTGTTTCTTTAACCACAATAACAGTGCTTGAAGGGATAGGAAGATATGAATGTGCAGCTGATGAATTAGCAGGGTCAAAAGGATCAGCTTGTAATATATTTTTAGGAATAGTGGATATGGGTGGGGATGATAAAACTTCTGGCCAATTTGCATTTGGATCTAAAAAGCTGTGATATACTTGACTTTCACGCACCTGGTCTATTTCCAATAGCCTTTTCAAGAAAACAGAGAGCATTCTTCTTCTGTGTTCAATTATATGTGAATCCTCTTTAGCTTTAGTAGGTGCAGTTGCATATTTAGTAATCTTATGCTTTTCAGGAATTGGTGGTATAATCAATGTAGGAAATAGCTTCGTCAATTTTGTTCTCAAACTTTCAAATTCACTATATCTTCTTCTCACTAGGGCGCCATTGACCTTGATTGTATAAACGATATATCCTCTGCTATGACCTTCTCGACTTTTACCAGCATCGATAATTTCAATATTCAACGATTCTTTATCTTTGAATGCCAATTGCGAAGTTGATGAATACAGATCTGGATTATAAGCTTGTGTACCAGTATTATAGTTATTTGCTGTTGGTGGTTGACTAGCGGTTGACAATGTAGTTGGTGAATCTGGGATATCGCTGTTAACAGGAGCACTTGAAGACGATTTTTGCTCGGTGGCATCATTCTTCACGCTGGTTTCTTCCTCCTCGTCTTCTTCTAATGGCAGGTCAATGAACTCGTCATCTTGGATTGTGGATTGTGCAAATGGGCTATTGTCCTCTTCTTCAAGTGACATGTTTTTTTTGTGGATTCTGTGCAATTGATGGTTGTTAAGCAGTGCTTTAAAGCCCCTTTTGAAACAATCAGCGTTTCATTTTGATAATAATCAATCTCATCGGAACAGTGACTGCGTAACCACTTCCGTTTTGAAATGCAGTGCTTCAACATAAAAAAAATTGTTAAGATTTTGGTGATGAAGAATATTGGAGTTGACTATTCAATACACAAGGCCAGATAACCAGTGGACGATGCAAGGATCTATCACATTGGCAAAGTATCTTGATGATGAACAGCGGAACAGGTTGGCTGTGAATATATCCCAGAATTTGGAGTCAAAAGAAGCCATCAATGCGCTCCATGAGGTTATCGGATTAATCAATGAAGATGCTTTGATACAAATTTCTCCCAAAATTGTTCAAGTTGCTAAAGAGGCTATTTTGGCACCTGAATCAAACGGTGAAGATTCAGCCATATTTAAAGTATTGAAAGCGTTGCCAACTGTCTCCGAATTGATTCTTGAATGGACACTCCAGCTAATCCAGTCTATAGTCAATGATAGACTGAACTATTTATTTGACACCAAATCTATTGATCTTTATAAACAAAACTTTACGGACCCTGTCAAAGAGATAATGAATAATGAACAAGAGCAGTCACTAGAATCTATTTTAACAAAAGTTGAGCAACTATATTCATTAGAAGTTAGTGGTATCTTATCACATCTTGATAAATTGATCGTTTTACTTTTAGGTAGTGAAGATTCACGTATTTCAATAATTTGTTCAAAAATACTCAGATGGAGATCAGAATCGCTAAGCAATATTGAAGGCTTCTTATGGGATGTGCTTCCATTGTTGGTAAATTCTGATAAGGTTCAAACTACGAATGGTTATATCCTTTGGTTAAGGTATCTGTTGAACATCTCAAATAAAAAGTTTAAATCTGATGTGTTCCAAAGCAAATTAATTTCAAATGATTACTGGCTATATATTCAAAAAGGACTAGGTAGCTCTGTGCATGATCATAGAAAATATTCCCTGTCAATATTGAAATTATCAATTCAACAAATAGATACCGAAATTGATAATGATTTTGTCAAGTATAATCAACAAAACTCCGGTGCTATTTTAGATGAATGGAAAAGATATAGTACCATTTTTGAAATAATAGGTATCGATACTGCCTTGAACCAAGCTGAAGCTGCTAAAAATGATATCATTCAACTTCTAACGCCAGATTCATATGTCAAACCAAGTTGGGGTATGGTGCTATTATCAACTGCTTTCAAAGGTTCAATGGAATCTGTTAGAAAATTTGCTTTGAATATCATGTACTCCACTCCTGCTGATCAATTGTCTATTTATTCTCATGAGTATTTGACTTCTGTGTTTTTGAAGTACGCTGCTGAAGCTCCTCATTTTCAAGTTAATAAGGTTGATCAATCCCTAACTTGTGAATATGGTATCAAATTAAGAGATTTTATCGAGAATCTGTTGAAGAGTCTAAAAACATCAGAAACTAAATTTGAAGAAACTGTTACATTGTTACTTGATCTATTATTGGACCTTAGATCAACTTTTGCACCTGCAAGGTTCTATATCTCATATGGTTTACTAAGAGGCCTTAAAGGTAAAAATATTTTTACTCAAAAACATGTTTTTAAAATTATTCGATTATTTGAATCGACTTCAGAGGATGAGGTTTTTGAAACCTCAATTCAAACTATTCATTTGAAATTATTGAACCACATTAAACCTGATATTCCATTACTATTGAACTCGTTGACTAAATTTGTGCAATATAACGGTTATGAACTTTTCGCTGAGTATTCAGATTTATTCATTGATTATGTTTCTACTTTCAACGATGGGTCACTTAACATTGATCCTACAGATCAAGAGCTTGAATATCAAATTATTTGCTTCCACTTGTTGGATATTTATACCATAACAGATGAGTTCTTAATTGAACTGGTTTTCTCCAAAGTTGAACATTTACATGATTTTAGTATCAGATATAGCTTGTTATTAACAGGATTGATCAAAAATACAAAACAGACTTATAATAATTCTACAGCTTTGATAGATATGAAAATTTTCAGAAATAGTTGGAAAAATTTAGATTTATCGGCTCTATATGCTAGCTTAAAGGATCATTTTGACGTTGAGAAATTCAAATTTTTTGTTGGTGTATATGTTAAGGGTTCAAATATTTCAGATTTAACAGTTGTTGATTTCAATTCCTTAATTGAGTGGTATGAAAAATTGAACAACTCTAGACAAGATTACAAAACCAAAGATGTTATATTAGGAAACTATTTTGATTTATTATTAGCGTATTTAAAAATGACACCATTATCAGAGTCTCAAGTTGAGCAAGTATTGACATTATTAAATCAACAAGCAACAAGCTCAGCATACCAAACTACAATTTCAACTTGTAACATCTTACAATATTTATTCAAAAATTATGATTTTGATCTAATCACAGGTATTGAGATCTTGGAAACTATCTGGGATCAAATGACAGCTGAAAGATTAGTTTTGAACCAAAAACAAATGCATTTAAAATTTATTGAAACATTATTTGATGAGAAGCTTTTACAAGATTCAATTAACAATGAATATAATGCTAAAATATTACACCGTATTGGATTGGAAGTTGTTGATCAAGCGTTCACAAGAAGATCGTTTTTACCAACCTTAACCTCAAAGCTTGTAAATTTCCAGAAGGGATATGCTGTGGAATTTAATCAATGTGCGTGGTTAATTGAATTGATTTTGAAGAGCTTCACGCTAGTCCAAGATGAAAGTAATTTGTTCAAATTGAAAATTGTTCTCGCTAAGATTTATGATAATGAGTTAAAACTTCATGGTGATCTTTATAAAGACGTTTTTGGTGATGAAGAAGTCAGTACAAGAATTAATATAATCAAATTGTTGTTAAAGAGTTCACCATCATTTCTTGATGACTTTTTCACTGAAGTTTTAGAGAACAAGAAATACGGTCTTTTAGTTCCTAATAAGAAGGAAAACGGTACCGAAGAACGTCAAAGAGTCTTGGTATTTTCATTATTACTTCTGATTTCACAGAAAATTGATAAATCAACGCTATCAAGCAATGTCGCCGAACATTTACTCCCAGCTCTTGTCACAGAATCAAGTCCTTTAGTTCGTACGTACATTGAATGGATTGTCAGTTTAGATATGATTAAGAATGGTTCAAACAAGTCCCAATTATTTGATTATTTTAAAGATCAATCAAAGCCTGCTTTAGTCACATCAGCTGAACGTATTGCGTTTATGACAGCTCAAAGATTATCACCTCCAGAGAGTGCTTCATACTTTGATGAGTTCACCCAATATTTGATTCCAAATTGTACTTCAAATAAACCGTTGATTAGACATTTTTCAAACTCACTTATATTATCTCTATTTCCAGCATTACAGAATAGAGAGATTAAACTACCCGTTCATGATGTCCTAGAAGCTTTATACGCTGAAGCTAAAAAATCAGAAGTAACTGGACAATATAGAAGCGGTGATGCATTGATTTGGGATGCTCAAGAAGATTTCAACTTAGTTTCAATTTTTGGTGGTGTATTATCAAAAACTTCACCAAGAAAAGTCGACACAATTTCTCAGTTGGAATTTACCAAATATCTTGGGTTTGATACGTATGGTGTACCAATTGGTGAAGATTCTGGTTCAGTATGGAAAGAATCACAAGAAGAGTTGACTGAAACTAAAATTAACTCAAGTTCTCCTTTACAAACAAAGAGTGGTGTTTGGGAATCAGTTACAGATATTGATCAAACATCTAAAAAAGTTAAAAGAAGTGAATTGATCGTTATAAGTTCTCTTGTTGATAAACCTCCAAATTTGGGTGGTATTTGTCGTTTATGTGATGTTCTTGGTGCTGGTTTAATGACTGTTGATGATCTAAGAGTTAAAAAGCATCCTCAATTCAAAAATGTTGCTGTCACAGCAGATTACCATATGCCCATCACTGAAGTTAAAATTGAGGATATCCCACAGTTTATGAAAGAAAAGAAGAGAGAAGGATATACTTTGATTGGGCTTGAACAAACTGATCAAAGTCAAGTTCTAGGTAAAGATACTGAATTTCCAGCAAAGTCAGTTATCCTTTTAGGAAAAGAAGCTGAAGGTATTCCTGGTGAACTTCTTGCAGAACTCGATTATTGTATTGAAATTAGACAAGTCGGTGTTATCCGCTCCATGAATATCCAAACTGCCACTGCTGTTATCGTACACGCCTACTCATCCTCACAGTTTGCTAAGTCACAATAGACATAGATAGACATGCTGTATTATATCCTTTAATAGATCACAAATTAAATAGATGGGTTCATTGTAGATTATTAGTTATCGTTCACTGTACACGTTTCCGATGATCATCGGAAAAATGATCAAAACTGTGGATAATAGATCGCGAATTTCACGATAAGAGATCGAAGAATTTCAATTTTCCAGTGTTATCAAACTTTTAATCAAAACAATTCTAAAGTTCAACTTTACTAACTCTTTGCTATTTAATTGGTTTTGCTTTGTTATTCTTGAAGGGTATCAACAATGTCGGAGTCTCAAGATCCACGCTACAAATATCCACCGGTGGCGCCTAGAATATATTCACTTGTTGCTTCTGTCGTTGTTGCAATTGCAGCAGGTACACCATACGCATATTCAGTGTTTGCTCCACAATTGATCAAAAATTCAAATTTACCTGTCCATGTTATTTCCAATTTGTCGTTATCCATAACATTAGGCAGCTCACTTGGTGGTTTCCCAGCTGGAATGATTATTGATAAACTTGGCCCAGGTCTTGCTGATTTTATTGGTTCCATATCAACATTCTTTGCATATTCATTATTACATACACTATACCAAACTAAATCGCAAAATGTTACATTATTTATGATATCCTTGATATGTGTTGGGTTTGGGTCGATTATTAGTTTCTATTCAACAGTTAAAGTGGCTACAGCTAATTTCCCACATCATAGAGGTACTGCTGGGTCCTTACCAGTCTCTGCTTATGCTTTAGCTTCATTAATATATTCATCAGTTTCAGTACATTTTTTCAAAGATAATACCAGTGGATTATTGAAATTTTTATCCATTTTTTGTCCAGCATTTTGTTTTTTGGGCTCATTTTTTTTGAAGATCTATAAAAGAGAAAGAATATCACCAAGTATTACACCACCAGAATCCGCAACACCACCAAATTTGGAGCAACAACCTTCATTCAAACATGTTCCATCTACTACTTCACTATTAAGTAGTTTCAACGATAGACGTTACAGTACTAGTCCAAGAGCATCATTCAGTTTATGGGGTATTCCATTCAGATCACCAAGACCTTCATTATCCAACATGGATCAATCAGCACCATTATTGAATCAAACCGGTTTACAACGCTCAGATAGTATGTCATTATATGCTGCTGTTGAAGATACGCCGGTCTTTGTCCGTGAAAACTCACCAATATGGAATCATCATATAGTTCAAGCTATTTGTCAAAGATTATTTTTCAAATATTACCTTATATTAGCTTCATTACAAGGATTTGGTCAAGCATATATTTATAGTGTTGGGTTCATTGTGGTGGCACAGGTGTCATCTGATCCTGATTCAAATTTGTCTGTTGGTCAATCACAAGCTTTACAGGTTTCTATTCTCGCAGTTGCTAGTTTCTTGGGTAGATTAACCTCTGGTCCAATTTCTGATATTTTTAAAAAACAATTCCATGCTCAAAGAATTTGGTGTATTTTCTTTGCGGCTATTTTGATGGCTTTAGGTCAAGGCTTAACAGCTGTTTTTGATTCAGTGGGTAAAATTTCTATAAGCTCATTTATTATTGGGTTTGCATTTGGATTCGTGTTTGGTACTTTCCCAGCTGTTATTGCTGATAGATTCGGTACAAAGGGGTTCAGTACAATTTGGGGACTAATGACCACGGGTGGTATTATAAGTGTTAGTCAATTAACCAAAATTTTCAGTTATTATTTAGGTAAACATACAGATCCTGATGGGGTTTGTAGAGCTGGTGTTGAATGTTATAGAGACACATTTATAATCACTCAATATGGGAGCTTGTTTATTGCTGCTTTGCTTTTATTCACTATTTACTATAATAATAAAGTTGGTGTACATCAATAATACCCAATTTAACATATTCGATCATTTATATAGAATCACTTATGATCATATAATGAAAGATCATACATGGTTCAAATGTTTCATGAATATATATACCAGATACAACATAATAGAGATAACAGTCGTTCATTCATGATTCAATACAAAATAGAAAAGGTTTCTTCTTCAATTAAAATCGTTTTATAATATTTTAATGTAATATATATATTTATTTATTTAGGAAAATATTGGTTTAATTCCATTTAAAGTGTATCCTAAGCATTTTGAGCAATACCAGATTCAACAGGTTCAAATAACTTTGGAGGAACATTATAATCACTTAAATTTTCTAAAAATTTATTACAATCATAATCCCAACCTTCTAATAATTTTGAAGCTTCACATTGAGCTTTAGTCCATGGTGTACCATAAATTAATGGTGAATAGTTGACATAGAATAGGAATGAAACTAATGCAAATGTAACAATCAAAGCATAACCAATTGTTCTCTTTCTTGAAAAGATATAAGTAACAAGGATATCAAAGAAATGAGCTAATGTTAAAACTGCAAAATAGAAAGCTGGTAAATAATGATGTAAAAATAATTGACGACCCATTAAAAATGATGGAGCAAAATGAACTAAATAACCCAAAATATATTTGAAAGTTTGAACATTGAAATTGTAAACGTGACGATCTGTACCAATTTGGGCACCTTTTTGCCATCTTAAGATTTGAGTTGGTGCATAGATTAAGAAAATTGTAATTGCAAGGGTAGTTGCCCACCATGTTGGTGCATTACCTAATAAATAGATATGACGATTATCATCACCCCAGTAATTAATACCACGGGTTAAAAATGGCCAAGTATTTGGTAATGATTGCCAATTATGTGGAGCATTTAAATTTTGATTAATTTGCCACATCTTCTTGTGAGATTCAACAATTTTCGCCCATAATGAAGGTGGTTGATAACTAACTCTTCTTGTATCTTCTGGTAAAAATGGATTTTCATTATGTTCAACGTGCCATAAACTTTGTTTTAATATACCTTGAGTTGCACATGTAACTTCTTGTTGTTCAAACCCCCATTTTGGTAATTTAACTTCATGAGAGAATAAGTAACAACCAGTCATTGCGTGACGTAATCTGAAAACAGATTCTAAAGCTGTTAAATTAACTTGAGCATCTTGAGATGGTGTATAAGCTTTTTGAATTTCAACAACGAAATCATCATTAGCATCACCTTCAAAATCTTCAAAACCATAAGCTGAAACTTCTTTATTCCAATCGTTTTCAGAAACTGGAGCTTTATGATCATGAGAATGTAAACGTCTATGAGTAAAGATATGTTTTAATCTGATTTTAGTACCATCTTGAATTGGTTCAAATTGAGTTGGGGCTTCACTAACATTATATAATTCAACTAACCAGTGGTTGTTAGCATCTAAATGTGGATATAATGTGATTTGTTGTTGTTTAGAACCAGTTTCATATAAATGATCGTGGGAATGTAAATAACCACCTTGAGTGTTAACATGACGAATTGAAATAGTTGAACCAACACCAACATTAGCTGGGATATTACCTGGAATTTTGTTATTTTGTAAAGTTGATCTAAAAGCTGAAGTCATGAAAGCACCACCTTCACCTTCTTGATTTAAAACTTGGAAATGAACTGCAAAGAATGTAATGTATAAAATAATTGGAACACCTAATAATACAGTACCTCTGATGAGTGTATGTCTAACAACTTTATTAACAGAAACAGTTAAATCACCAATTAAAAACCATAAATCCCAAACGTTTAATAAACCAACCCAAGCAATAGTAAATAGACCAACCCATTTAGATGAGACAGCTAAACCTAAGGCGATACCAGTTGCAACTAAAGCTCTATACCAACCAATGCTAAATGGAATTTCATTTTCAAATCTTTTTGCACCATAAGCAGCGGCAGCAATAAAGAATAATAATGGAGAATCTAACAAGATATATCTTGAAATTGTAACATTAGCATTTTCGTATGTGAAAATTAAACCAGATAATAAGGCAACAAAAGGTCTAACACCTGAAGCTCTTAAAGTTAAGTATAATAAGACAACAGTAGCAACACCTAAAGAAGCAGGGAAAAGACGCATCCAGAAATATGGGGTTGATGGAGTGAAAACATCACCAATTTTTTCAAAATCAAAATCACCTTTAAAACCAGCTAATGAAGCAACACCAGCGAATAATAATTTAGCTAAAGGAGGATGAACATCCATAAAGAAAGTACCCAAGATGTATTTTTTAGCAAATCCACCAAAATGTACTTCATCGAAAACAACTGAATTTGGGTTATATAATTTTTGTAATCTAATAATAACTGCAAATAAAATTAAACCAACAAGGAATAAACGTTCTTTTGTGCTGGAAACTGAACGTAATTGAGCCAAGTTTGCAGGAGGAGTAGTAATTAAGAATGGACGATCAACACCTTTTTCGAAAACAAATTCTGGGACTGTATCTAATTCATCAACTTTTGAAGATTGAGACTTCTTCTCATTAGAAGATTGTTTGGTCTTCTTTGGAGCCATTTTTCAATCAGCAGTTCTTGAGATCTTAGAGTCTAACGAATATGCAAGGAGAGCAATAGCAGTCAAAATTGCAACAAGAATCAGCAAAAGAACCTGGAAAGCCAACGAAGGATTGAAGAACTGAAAAGAATAGAAGCGTTGAAACTTGAATATCAGCTGTTTTGGTTTCAATTCAATTCAATTCGCGTGTCTTTTTTTCGTTCAAATTTTGATGACACGTAAAAACGAAAAAATAGAATCTGGTACGCGCAGGGTTTAATCATTTCGCGAACTATAACAATGAAAAGTAAACAAACAAATATGTAGAAAGTACGAACAAAATTTACTAGAGGTTTTTCCGTATGATGGTGATGGTTTCTAAGAGAAGATGGTAATATATTGTGTTCTGGTGCTGACTGTGTGAGAGGGCGGTACATCCTTAGTTTCTGGCGCTTTTTTCAAGATGATTTTGGTTGGTTGTACTATATTCTGATCTATTGGAGCATAAAATAAACTGTTTACACAAAAACAATTTATTTCGAAATTCAAAGATTTTTAGAGAGGAAAAGCTGTGAAATATTCCATGAAACTTTGAGGTACTTGATTTATACTGGTGCTTATCAATAGTACCACCTCACTAAACATGAAGGTCATTTCCATAAGGTGCTGTTTGACTTCTTTGGTTCTTTTTAGTTCTGTTTTGGCATTTTCTGAAAAGCTTTATGATGATTTTTATCATTATGCCCATTTTACTGCTCTTTCAGCTTGTATAACACATGGTCGTTTATTTGAAGGACCCTTGAATGGGGGCGCTTGTGATTTGAATTTTTGCTTGAACAATAAAAGAAATCGTGAAGCTGAAATTGTTAAAGTGAATATAGATACTTTTAATTGTCATAAATTATTGATTTAGTTACTAACCATATTTGTTCAAGGTGAAAAAGGCTACACAAGATGAAATAGGTACTGGATTCATCACTTTGGATAAGAAGAATAAGCAAATCATTGTTTCATTTAGAGGGTCAACTTCTGCTACTGATTGGGCAAGTGATTTACAAATGTATCCTGTTGATTATCATAGTATATCAAAATTAAAAGGTACTAATAAATGTCATGATTGTAAAGTTCATTATGGATTTTATAGAGATTTAGGAAAAATCTCAAATTCAATAATCAAACCTGTTGATGAATTATTTGCCAAGTATCCAGATTTTAAACTTATTGTTGTTGGTCATTCATTAGGTGGTGCTTTAGCTACATTGGTTGGTATTGAATTTAGAGTGAAAGGTTACGAACCTTTAGTTATTGCATATGGGTGTCCAAAATTAATGAATTCTCAATTAGCTGCATGGGTTAATAAGATATTTAAAGTTGATAACTTAGCTGACAAAATTAATTCAGGTGAAGATATTGATTGGGGTTTAATTAGAATTGTACATGAAGATGACTATGTACCAATGTTACCACCATCATTTGAACATGCTGGATTGGAATTTTACATTAAGAGGAAGGATTTACCTCATAAATATTCAGATATTGATTTCTTAGGCTCAAAAGAAGTTATTATAAATGAACATAATAACAAAAATGTTTGGGATCTTTTGAATGGTTATGAACATCGAAATTATTTCTTAACTATTAACAAATGTGAAAATTTTTGACCAAATAAGTACTTACGATTTCATAATTAGAAAGATTGAACTTGTATAATAAATTAAGAATTTCAAAAACATCATCAAGCAACACAAGATAAAGTATTAATAACTGAACATATAAAAGATTTTGAACATGATTAAATTAAACGGAAAAATTATTTTGAATTAAAGATTAAAAATAATGCAATTCATAAATGAATGATTATTTTTTTGAATTTGAGTAATTAAGATAAAAAAAAATATTGAACTTTTGGAACTTTTGAGTTTTTTGTTTTTTGGTTTCAATATATTTAAACAACTTGAAATTGTTATAATATATATTGTAAATCAAATTATAGATCAAATTAAATGATCTTTCGAATAAAGAATAATTGTATGGATTTGATATTTGAAAAAAAAAAACAATATACTTTAATTATTAGCACCTATGTAGACCAGTCCATATAGTGTAAAATTAAGTTGAATGCAATAGATATTATGCTTTTTTATAACCAATTTGGAGATGTAAAAAGTGCAGGGGGAAGGGCAAAAAAAAAAGTGGGTAAAACATAGAGGTTCTTTGGTTTTTCTTTGATTTTTTATTTTTAATTTTTTGGTAATTTCATAAACTTCATTCATTAAAAAAGGTTGTTGATACCTATATATATATAATGGATTTCATAATCATAACAAACCAGTGTCATGTAAAATATTTGATAAGATACTTTCTCTAACAACAACGAAAACTAATTTAATATTATTAGTATCAGTTGCTTGAGTAATATAAGGATAAATTGGTAAACCCGATCTATTAACTCTTGTAAATTTCCATAATATATATTTAGCAGCTTTATTTGCATCATTACCACCACTATAATCTGGGAAATAATTTTCTAATGGAGAATAAGGTAATTTTTCCATAAATACATCAATTTTATTTAAAAATAAAACAATTGAACATCTTGAGAACCAACGAGAATTAACAACTGAATCAAAAAGTGTTAAACTTTCTTCTAATCTATTTTGAGATTTTTCTTCTAATAAAGTTTGATCATATTCAGATAAAGCAACACAAAAAATTATTGATGTAACATTATCAAAACAATAAATCCATTTTTTACGTTCAGATCTTTGACCACCAACATCATAGATATGAATTTTTAAACCATTCAATTCAAATTTTAAATCAAATATACCTGATGTTTTTTTTCTTGTTCTTAAAACATCAGTTATAGTTGGTAAATAATCTTCTTGAGATATACGATCTAAATTTTCAAAAAAATATTTTGCACTATCCATAAGATAAAAATCTTGACGATGATTTTTAATTAATAATGAAGTTGATTCATTATTCCATAATGCTGTAATTTTAATAGCTAAATTTTTATCAAATGATTTATTTGGATCAATTGGAGTATTTGAATTTAAAATTATATCAAAATCAGATTCATTAATTAAATCATCATCAATTAATTTATAATCAAATTTTTTATAAGCTTCAATTAAATCTTTTGCAGATAATAAAATATTACCAAATATAAATGGTTTAAATTCAAATAATTCTTGTTGAGTAAATCCATTTGAATGTAAAATTTTTAATTGTTGTAAAATTGTTGATTTACCAGATTCACCAGAACCTAAAAGTAAAACTTTTGTATATTCATGAGTATCTTTTGGATTCCCAGAATTTACAGCAGTTGAAGTACCATTTGAAGATTCTGAAGGGACTATTGATTGTTTTCTTTGATTATCTTGAGAAATTAATTGTGATTGATTTTGATTTGTTGTATTTTGTCCTTGTTGTTGTTGTACTTGTTGTTGATTATTTGATTGATTTTGATCTTTTTCATTTAATGATGATGATGAATTATCTAATTTTGAAGTTCTTTTAACTTTATCTTGATTTGATGGTGAACCATCTTCTTTTGATACGCAAGACCCCATAATGAGAAAATGGAAAAATGGTATTTAAAATGGTGTTGAAATGAGATTAAAAAATAGGAAATGGAAATTTGAATTGATGATAATGGGACTAGTATTAATTTGACCTTATTTCTTGTGATAATATATTATAATTTGTTGATAATTTGCTTTGAATTTATAGCCAGTAAGAATTGATGTATACAAAATTCCTACCTTAAAAAAAATGTACCAGTAGCAGCAACTAGCGCGCAACTCAAACACTTAATTATACTGAATAACCGCTAATAATCTGAAGCAAAAGCAGTTGTTTAAATAGCAGGAAATGAATAAAATTTGGATGATGAGAAATGAATAACTTTTTTTTGAATTCTAAATTTCCAATGAGTTTCTGGTTCGTAAATTTGTTGAATTTAAGTAGTTTTGATTATATGGCATTTCAATGGATTTTGAATTTTGAATTTTGAATTTCATTGAAAATTTGAATAAAATTCGCGCTTTTTTAAATTTACACTTGGCTGCTTCGGGAATTGGCTAATTTAGGCAGAGTGGGCTGCCAGGAGGGAGCCCGGAGCGCTAGAAGGACAGTGAAGATTAGGCAGAGAGGGTCCGTTCAGTGTCCGTTTGCTTACTGGTCACTAATCAATGATCACAAGTTAACAACTAACTGGTGGCAAATACTATTGTGTATAAACGATTTGTAATAGCTGATTGTCATTTGTTACCAAGCCTCAAACCTCGAGAACGTCAAAAGTCAAAGAACTGTCCAGTCAAATTAAGATCATGTCATTCCCGGCAACAAAGGTTAAATGAAAGCTTATCAATTGTTACGGAGTACGGATTTGTACTAATTTGAACAATTAGCCACTGGGAATTGAACACAATTAACATGGATTATACAGACTAGATACGTCATTAGAACTATATAAACATATTCACTAAACTCTAGATCATTAGCTGATGTTGTTGATTACTATTGAATAGTTTGGCACAATTTACGGACCAGTACTTTGAATTATAGATCGTGATGTCGTTCGTGGCGGATGGCGGCTAACATTGTAATAATGATTCAATATTATCAATATTACACTTAGGCAGGAAGTGGTGGAAGGTGTAAGTCAAAGGATCAGAAGATACATGATCATAATGACCAAACAAGCTCGAAACAGCTGAATGATTGATTCAATAGAATTCAATATACGTACGTGCTATATGATCAAATATGATTGAGATTTAACTACGTCAAACAAAATTATATAATGTCGATATACTACAAATATTGATGCTATTATTTAAATATTATTGAAAATGATTTCAGTATAGACAGACTTGAACTTTAAATTCATTCAAAATCATATCTATCTGAATACAATCATATATTAACTATATTTTGATTATTTGTTAACATTAAACATATGCTTCAACAGCTCATGATCATAGTAATATAAAACATTACCAGAGCCGTTGAAATGATATATTATCAACAATCTAATATTGATCAAACTGCAGCTGGTGTTTGAATTTTATTTTAATTAAGAATTTTATTTTATTAATTAATTGTATGCATATTGAATTAAAGATCAGAAATATAATTGTAGTCTAGTGTATTAAAATTGTAGTAGAATGTATAATATAGCTAGTTTGGCTAATTCAGCGGCACTAGCTGTATTTATATTAAAAATTATAATGGATACTGCAAATTGTCTTTGTGGTTGTGTTCGCTTGTACTCCACGACAACAAAAATACTTTGACACAGCGGCTAACTATAATTGTATCTGCTTATAATGATAAATATCACAATCATTATATTGGTCGACGTGCTAGCTACAATCTTTTTATATTATGTACTGTAATTACTCTTCTATTTATATTTTATACAAGTTATGATTTATAATATCAAATTAAATGGTGTCTATTTTTTTAAACTTGTTTACCACCAATAAATTCACTCCAACGACGAACTTCATCTGGAATAATAACTTCACCATCTTTTTGGTTTAATTTAGTACCAACTTTTTCAACTAATGCATTAGCAAATAATAATGAAGTTTGTGGTTCATTAAATAATGGAATACCAAAATCAATTGCATTACGTCTCATAACATAATCTTGATCTAATAAATCTTCAGCTCTAGCTTTAGCTAAATTGAAAACACCTTTAATATCATATTTTTGGAAAACTTCACGTAATGCTCTCTTATCAGTTTTTGGAAATTCAATAACATCAACTTGTGTACCTTCTGGTAAATAAGTTTTCAAATATTCAGCAACTTCTGGTGATGCTGTATAATATTTATAACCTATTGATGAAATTTTTGATGCAACTTGACCTAAATAATCTTTGTTTAAATCACCACCAAATAAGATACCACTTGGAGGTAATGGTAAATGGAAATTCATGGTTGATTGTAAAGCGGTCCAATAAGCTTCTGTAACATCTTTACCAAAACTTGCAATTTCACCAGTTGAACTCATTTCAACACCTAAGAATGGATCTGCACCAGCTAATCTTGTAAATGAAAATTGTGGAACTTTAGTAGCAACATAATCACGTTTAACATCCATTAAATTCTTTGGTTCAACTTCATTACCTAGAATTGCTTCAACTGCAACATTAATGAAATTTGTACCTAAAACTTTTGAAACAAATGGGAAAGATCTTGAAGCTCTAATATTACATTCAATAACTTTTAATTCTGGATAATCTGGATTGGTTTCAACATCAGCTTTAATAATTTGCATATTGAAAGGACCTGTAATATTCCATGCTTTACCAACTTTATCAGTAATTTCTTTAATTCTATCCATAACACCTTGTGATAAATTTTGTGGTGGTAAAACTAATGTAGCATCACCTGAATGAATACCTGCATTTTCAACATGTTCTGAAACAGCATGAACTAAAACTTTACCATTGGCTGCAACGGCATCAACATCAATTTCTTGTGCACCTTCAATAAATTTAGAAATAACAACTGGATGATCTGGTGAAACTTTTGATGCATTACCTAATTTATGTTCTAATTCATCTTCATTTCTAATAACTGACATAGCAGCACCTGATAAAACATATGATGGACGAACCAAAACTGGGAAACCAACATTATTAGCAAATTCTCTAGCAGCTTCAATTGATGATAATTCTTTCCATGCTGGTTGATCAACTCCAATAGAATCTAAGATTGAAGAAAATTTATGACGATCTTCTGCCTTATCAATATCTTGTGGATTTGTACCTAAAACTTTAGCACCATTATCTTGTAATGTTAATGCAATGTTTTGTGGTAATTGACCACCAACTGAAACAACAACACCTTTAGAATTTTCTAATTCATAAATATCCATAACTCTTTCAAAACTTAATTCTTCAAAATATAATCTATCAACTTCATCAAAATCAGTTGAAACAGTTTCTGGGTTATAATTAATCATAATTGTCTTTTTACCTGAATCTCTTAAAGCTCTTGCTGTAGCAACGGCACACCAATCAAATTCAACTGATGAACCAATACGATAAACACCTGAACCTAAAACCATAGTACCAAATTCATCAAATTCAACATCATTTGATGATGCATTATATGTTGTATATAAATAATTTGTACTTGCTGGGAATTCTGCAGCTAATGTATCAATTTTTTTAACAAATGGAATAATATCAAAGTTTTTTCTTCTAGCTCTAACTTCTAATTCAGTTGAACCAACAGCTAAGGCAATTTGTTTATCTGAAAAACCTAATTTTTTAGCTCTTGAAATAACATCTCTATTTAAACCAAATAATGAACCAATTTTTTCCAATTCTTTTTGCATTTCAACAATATTACCTAATTTATACAAGAACCATTTATCAATTTTAGTTAATTCATGAACTCTTTCAATTGTATAATTTTCATGTAATAAAGCTTGACCAACAGCTAACCAACGACGATCAGTTGGTTCTGCAAGAGCTTCATCCAAGTTTTCAAATTCACCACCTTGGAAACCAACAAATGATGGATCAATTTGACGAATGGCCTTTTGGAATGATTCTTCAAAATTACGACCAATAGCCATAACTTCACCAACAGATTTCATTGATGAACCAATATCTCTTTTAACATGTTGGAATTTTGATAAATCCCATCTTGGAATCTTAGTAACCATATAATCTAATGATGGTTCGAAATTTGCAGATGTAGTTTTAGTAACAGGATTTGGTAATTCAGGTAAAGTATGACCAAGAGCAATTTTGGCAGCAGTATAAGCTAATGGATAACCAGTAGCTTTTGAAGCTAAAGCTGAAGATCTTGATAAACGAGCGTTAACTTCAATGACACGGTAATCTAATCCATCTGGTTGTAAGGCATATTGAACATTACATTCACCAACAACACCTAAATGTCTAATGATTTTAATAGCAGCTGATCTTAACATATGATATTCTTCATCTGATAAAGTTTGAGATGGAGCAACAACGATAGAATCACCAGTATGAATACCTAAAGGATCAAAATTTTCCATATTACAAACTGTAATACAATTACCAACACGATCTCTAACAACTTCATATTCAACTTCTTTCCAGCCTTTTAATGATTTTTCAACCAAGATTTGTGGTGATAAAGATAAAGATTGAGCTGCTAAATTTCTTAATTCTTCTTCATCTTTAGCAAAACCTGAACCTAAACCACCTAAGGCATAAGCTGATCTGACAATGATTGGATAACCAACAGATTCAGCGGCTTTTAAAGCATCATCGACATTTTCAACAGCAATTGATTCAGCAATTGGGATATCAATTTCTTTCAAAGCTTGAGCAAATAATTCTCTATCTTCTGAAGTTTCTAAGGTTTTAATTGGGGTACCCAAGACTTTAACGTTGTATCTATCAAAGACACCCATTTTATCTAATTGAACACCAACGTTTAAACCGGTTTGACCACCAAAAGTTAACAAGATACCATCTGGTTTTTCTCTTTCAATGATATAAGTAATATATTCAGCAGTAACTGGTAAGTAATAGATTTCATCAGCTAAAGCATGAGAGGTTTGATTTGTAGCAATATTTGGATTAATTAAAATTGTCTTTTTATTGGCTTCTTTAAGAGCTTTAATAGCTTGAGAACCTGAATAATCGAATTCACCAGCTTGACCAATTGATAAACCACCTGAACCAATAACCAAAACTTTTGAAACATCAACCAATTGATGGGCATTTTCATCATTGAACCCAGATAAAATACCAGAACCGGAATAAGCAGCTGGTTGTGAAGCATTAGTAGCAGCTGCTGCTGTAGTTGTTGATAAGGTACGAGATGATTGGAACTTTCTCATTCTTAATCTAGCACCACCAACCATGGCGGCTTTTGAGCTTCTAGAGAGAGCTCTCTTTGTGACATTCAATGTCGCTGGTCTTAATAGAATCTTTTGCATTTTTGTCAATTCAAAAAGTCCTTCTTTATTAATCTAATCAACAGATATTACAAGTCTTTATCAATCAACAATTAAATCCAATGAGTCTGTTATTTAAAGTAACCAATGGATAGCAATACTCTATATTTAGATAGTATCACAGCTGTATTTTGTAATTGTATGAAGAAGCAACCTGGACTTTGCGTAGCGCTTGAATTGAAAACTTTGAAAGATGAAAGTTGATGGAAGTTTGAAGTCTCTTATTAGATTTCAATCTCAGATATCAAAGAGTCAGACTCCCAGCCAAATCGGTGAAAAAAAAAAAATTCTGCAAACCTCCCGGTTGAGGCAGCACGTTAGATAGGTTCCTGCCAAATGAGTCAGTTTGCAGATGAGCTATCAAGAAGTTTTAAAGAGGCCGTTTAGGCTGGTGAAAGGGCCCCTGCTGAAGGTTCACATAGGGCATTGGGTGTGTTAGATAATAGTGATTGCTACATTGTTCACTTAGAATACACCTGAATAGTTCTAGCTCTATTTTTTCATTAGTTTCACGGAAACCCATGATGATAATTCATTTTTCAAATGATAATTTTGGCGAGTAGATGCAGCTGATTACCTCACGATCTGTATGGGATTGTGTAACTTCAACAAAATTATATATGGAAAGGCTTTATTTAAAATATATACATGTAGATTGGATAATAATGATTCATATATTTGAGAAAATTGAACCCAACGGCCAACGGCTTCAATATTGCTTCAAATGAAAGAGATCTGAATCCTGATGGCCAACGGCCGACGGTTTTAATATTGAGAACATGAAGCTAGGTTTCATATCACACGAGATCAATTGATGGGCTACAAATACAATTATAATAAATTACTAAAAAATTCAATTACCTATTTAATATAACTTCCCTATAATGTTTGAGAAATACAATCATAACAAATCATCATCAGCTTCCACGATAGAATTCTTAATCTTTAGTAAAATTTTAGTTTTCCAATTATCTAATTTACTAAATTGATCATATTCATATAATGTATTTGATAATTTTTCAGGATCCCCTTCATTAACAGAATCTAAAACATCTTTTGTTAAATTATATTCTCTTGTTGTTTGGAAACTTGAATCTATATTCAAAGCTTCTTGAATATATTTATTGGCTGCAACACTATCATCAGCTGCTAAATATGAAAAAACAATCTTGACGAAATAATCTTTAAGACTCCATCTTGATAAATTATTATTTGCTGCATTTTTAACAATTTTTTTATATATTTCAGTAGCTGGAATGTAATTACCTGATAAAGCATTCAAATCAGCAGCTTTTAAAAATGCTTTGTTAGCTAAAGCTTGTGCTGAATCACTTTCAAACCAGTCACCAGCGTCTTGATAACTGCTTAATGCTTTTTCAATATCAAATAATTCTTCTTCATATATTTGAGCTAAATCCATTTTATAATTAGCCGCACGACGAAATTGACCTCTTAATGTGAAATGTTCAATTGATTTCTCTAGTACTTTAGCTGCACTAGCAGGATCTTCAACTTTATATGATTTGAAAGCATCAACTAATACTTGAGCACCTTCATCTTGATTACCAGCTTTGTAAAGAGCATCAGCGGCTTTCTCAAATGATTCACCAGCTTTTTTACCTTGCTTTCTTAAACGATAAATATTAGCAGCTTGAACGTATAAGTCACTGGCTTCTTCTAGCTTTTCTGTTGCACTACCTCCCAAAATACTACCAAAAAAACCTGGTTTTGAAGCAGCTTTCTTATCAGCCTAGGTATTAAAAGATTAGCCACAATTCAAATAGACACATAGACCCTTTTAGATCTCAATTTTCAAACATTCAAATCACACTTACTTGTTGAATCAATGTTTCTGGATCAGACATCTTCACTTATTCTTTATATTTCAATAACAAATACAACGATTCAATTCTATCAGTTTATGAAATTCTTTTTTAAAAGTTGAAAGTGTCAAAATATCCAATATTGCCAGCTTCTCTATGTACTTTTAATCGCGAAATTTAAAATCCCAAAGGCGTTACCCGCAGGCCTGCCTTCAGGAAGAACGCGTAATAACCAAAACATAAACAAACAGGAAACGATGGCAGAACATCTTTTAGCCTACATTTCTGTGATCAGGAGATATAACGGGCAAACATGAGTAATACGGAGAATAAGGATCATATAAGACATCAAAGATTGGTACAGGTTGTCAATAAGGCTCTTGAAGAGTCCATGAAAACAATATCTGATGAAAATCTACAGTCATGTTATCCATTATTATCAAGTACAAAACAAGGTAAAGAAACTATAAGTGTGGTTAAAGAACAATTGAAAGAATCATGGTTTCAAAACTCACAAAAGGAATTTGATGCTATATATAAGGAAAGAGATATAGAGGCTAAATTGAATGAATTAGATGATCTTATAATAGAGGCACAAGACCTCCAAAAGAATTCTGAAGCTAAACAAATACCGTGAGTAATAGATGACATTGGGACTATAAAAGAACAATATACTAACATTAAGACTTTAGCATTGATCAACTCACCCCTGCTAATGTGATTCATAGTCATTTGGTGCCTATTAAAGAAGCCAATCTAAATAATTTACAGAAACAATTAGAAGAATTGAAGAATAGTAATAAATCATTATTAGATGAATTACATGGATTATCAGATGAGGCTAAGGAAATACAAAACGAAGTTACAGAAAAAGTGGATGGTTTGAATAAATTTGATGAACTAACGAAAGAATCAGATATACAGGCCAAATTACAGACTCTAATAGAAACGGTATCTACAAAGGAAAAAGAACAAATAACATTAGTTTTTTTTATTTAATTAAATCAAGTGTTGAAAGTATTATACAATGTGTTTTTAATATTTTTTTTTTTTTTTTTGAAATCCAATAAAGGTATTTTCTTTATATAACTGAAATGTAGTAAGAACACAAAAATATCAGCAAACGTTAAAATGAATCATAAAGTAAATAATACAAAAAATTAGTGGACCAAACAAAACCAGGCAATTCCTTCAAGCATTATCAAGTAAGAAATTAGTTGCGGCTTCTAAATTCCATTTTTCTTTGGTTAAAGCATTTAATGCTTCATCTTTAGAAAATCCCATACCGGTTAATTCTTGAACAGCTAAAGATTTTGGTGTAGTTGCAATGCGTCCTTTGGCAGGTGATGATGAAGAACCAGCTTGGCCTGGGTGTCTTGGTTCAGGTTGAGCCATTTTTTCTAACGGTTGAGATGTATTAGCTTGAGCACCATAAGCATTCTTAGCATATGGATGAACAGAATCTGAAAATCCTTCATTTGGTTGAGCAGATTGTTGTTGAGATCCTGTACCTTGTTGTGGAGCATTACCAAAACCTGCAAAGATTTGTTCCCATTCACCATTGTTTTGTTGATCGGAGCCACCTTGTGGTTGATTAGAGAAACTTTCTGCACCATAAAAGTTTGAACCTTCTAATTCTTCATTGAAGTCATTTGTATTGTTGAATTCGTCTTCATCAAAATCACCTTCTTTAGCAGCTTCTAAACCTTCAAAATCATCTTGGAATAAATCATCTTTTGGTTTTGATTGAGATTCTGATGAGCCGAATGGTGATTCAAAATCAAAATTCTTATCACCTTGTGAAAGAGTGGGTTCTTGATTTTGTTGACCACTTGAAAATCCTGGGAATCCAGAAATTGTAGCAGCTGCAATACCAGTAGCTGCACCAACACCAGCACCTAAAACAGCACCAGCACCACCTTTATTTTTAGCTTTTTGTCCTTGTTCTGGTAAATTTTCAGAAGTTTCATGGAATTCTTCATCATCACTTTCACTTTCATTTATGTCAAGTTCCTTGATTGGAGGGAATTCTTCATCAGCAGCAGATGATGATCTGATAGGGTCATTTGATTGAACACTATCAGCTGATTGAGTGAAACTTTGAGCCCCAACATCACTTGAACCACCAGCAGAAGAAGCAGCAGCAGTAGTAGCAGCAGCAATCGCAGCTTCATTTCCTGATTGTGTAGTTGGATCAATTGAAGCTAATGATGGATTAGCAACTGATGGACGTGGCTCGGGAATTTTTGCCTCTGCAGCAGTTTGAGAAGCTTCTAAGCTCTTGTCATTATCACCAAATGGTGTTTCATTAGTTGGTGTTTCAACTGGAACGTTCCAACCACCTGGAATAGAAGATTCAACATCATCAGCGCTCTTTCGTTGAACATTGCCAGCACCTCCTCTTAAAGTCAAGTCACTTTCAGATTTAACATTTTCAACCACTTCAAATGATCCAGCATCTGGAGATCCAGTTGGTTCCAAACCTTCAACTCCAATTTCAGTAGCATCAGAACGTCTTTCACCGATATTATAATCTTTTGCTAAAACATCAGAAGCTAAAGCTGGGCTTTCAACAACACTATCAATAGTTGGATTTTCTTCAATATCATCACCACGAACAGATTGTGGGGCATTATTTTGAATAGATGATGTTGTAGATTCTGGTCTATCAATTGGTAAGTTGAATTGATTAACATCACGAGTTGGTTCATATTGGTAATCATCAGAATTCACAGAAGTGGTTTGTTCGGTAGTTGCAGCAATTGGTGAGTCAAATTCAGCATTATCTTTTTCACTTGTAGTTGTATTAGTAGCTGCAACTGCGGTACCGCCAATAGCACCTGCAACAGCACCAACTGCGGCACCAATTAAACCTTTTGAGCTTGAAGAAGTGGTTGATTGTTCAGCTGGAACAGATTCTTTGGAGCCTGAAGTATTAAGATCTCTTGAGCTTGATGTATTGTAATCATCACCACCAAATACACCACTAGTGGCTGTAGCAGCACCAGTAGCTGTAGCTGTTGATTGAGCATATCCAGTTGATGCATCTTCTAATTGTCTGCTGGAGAAAGATTGAACTCTTTGAGCATATTCAACTTGTTGTTGTTGTAATTGATGTTCAGCTTCATCAAGTTGTCTTTTTCTTTCTTGTAAATTGGCAAATAATTGTTGAATATGATTTTCATGTTGTGAGATTTGATGTTCTCTTTCTTGTTGTTCTTGCAATCTTGATTGTAATTCTTCATCTTTGGCTCTAAATTCTGATTCATTTTGTTCATGTAATTGCTTTCTTTGAGCTAAATCTTTTTCATTACTTTCATGTTGTGCTTTCAAGTTTTCTAATTCACGTTGCTTATTGCTGAAAGTTTCATGATGTGTATCAATTTCTTTAACAGATGCTAATAAAGCAGTGATTTCTTCCTTCAACCCTTTGGAAGATAATTCAGTTGTTGACAGTTGCTTAGAATTGATAGCAGTTAAACCTTTACTTTGTCTAACATCTGATTGGACTTTTTCCAATTGTTTTTGTGCTTCTATATGTTCAGCATTTAAAGTACCTAAACGTTCTTTTAATGATGCATTTTCCTTTTGAGATTCCTCTAACTCAGATTGTAAACCTTGTAATTGAGTTTGGACAGAATTATACTGAGCTTCAGCAACAGAAGCTTCTTTTCTCAATTGCTCAGTTTCTTCTTTGGATGATTTTAACAAAGTTTGAACATGTTCTGTTTGTTGAACTTCTTGATCATAAGCAGCTCTCAATTTAGTTAATTTAGCTTCAATATCTTTTTTCAAATTGGTAATTTTAGCTAATTCCTGTTCAGCTCTACCACGCTTATCATGTAATTGGGAAGTTTGATTTGCTAATGAACCAATTTGATTTGATAAATTGGCCATATCTGAGGTAGCTTGTGAGAGTTGACCGGAAATTTCAGGATTTGAATCAGCTAATAAATCATTATTACCTGGTTGTTGTTGATATTGTAAACCTCTGGTGTTGTTATTGTTGTAGGAACCAGTTGGTTGTTGTGAGAAGCTTTGACTTGATTGGAATGATGGAGTTCTATCTGCTTGAGGTTTAGATGATGAGCCACTGACGGCTCCAACGGCAGCTCCAATAGTAGCACCAGCAGCTGCTGCGATACCACCAACAGCAGCGGTAGCACCAGAAGGGAATCTACTTTCAGATGGGGATTCAAATTCTGATGATTTGACTTGAGGAGCTGGTGCACTAACATTTTGTGGTTGAGATGGAGCAGATGAAGAAGATGATGAAAAATCTCTTGTACCTTCCTTTGGAGCTTCAGTTTTTTGCTTTTCAAATAAATCTTGGCCAAATGAAGAAGAAGGAACAAATGGTTTTGGGGCATTTGATCCAGAGCCACTAGGAGTATATTGAACAGTTGAGCTTGACGCAGTTCTATTTTGTTCCTTTTCAGGTAATTTAGCTTCTGGTAATGATGGACTTGGTGTTGTGAATGCATCATTCAAATCAACTAAATCTGTTAATGAAGATTTTGGTTTGGTATCTCTTGATGGAATTTGTGGAATAGCTGCAGATTTTGCATTATATCCAGTATCTGAGGATGACAAAGGTACTGATTGAGTTGAACCATACCCAGTTGTAGTTGGTGCTTGTTGTTGATAAGGTTGAGAGCCGGTAACGTTTGTATTAATTCCACCAGCTTGAGTATCCAATAAGGAATCTGGGATAACATTTGGTAACTCAACACCTGCAACCTTCTTTTGAACTAAGAACATAGCAATAGCGAATTCAGTTTTTGTAAATTCACCAGTATTATGTATATCAGATAAATCCCAAATATTTGCTAAAACATCTTGTGGTAATTTAGAAGTCATTAAAAATGGGGCAACTTCATTTGGACCTAAGACACCTTTGGAATCTTTATCTAAACCTTCGAAAAGAGCATCAAATTGTTGCCTCTTTTGTGGAGCAATGACCCAGTCATTTGAAGCATTAGTAAAACTTGATGGAACACGGGAAACTGATGGGGGTCTTTGTGGTTGGGCACCAGCACCAACATAAGGGCCAGTTGCTGAGCCAAAGCTTCCACCTGTGGTGATTGGTGATTGGAATCCTTTCAATTGATCCCAAATATTTTGTGGAATTTTTGGTGGTAAAGTACGAATAGTATTATTGATGGTACCTTGAATCAAAAACATAGCAACAATAAATTCATCTCTATCCAATTTACCTCTGTTGTTTTTATCTGAAAGAGCCCAAATTTCACTCAAAACTGTAGTTGGTAATCTAGCTTTTAAAAAGATATTTCTTGCTTCTTCACCCGAAATGATACCTGATGGTGCACTCTTGTGAAACAATTGACCAAACTTTGAGATATCGTGGTTAGTCAATGGTGGTAACGAAGTATATTGTGGAGCAATAGGCTGTGATTGAGGTGAAGAAATGCTTCCAGTAGAAGTGTGCGCTAAAGTTGGAGCAGTTGTTGGACCTGGAATCCCTTGAATTCTAGCAATTGGACCCGAATAATCAATTAAAGATTTATCTGGTTTGGCACCATTTTGTACATGACCTATCAACCTTAAAGCAACTGCAAAAGCTTGTTCACTCAAGAACCCAAGATTAGTTGGATCTGCTAATTGCCATATCTCACCAAGAACCGCTGGAGGCAAACCCGATTTCTCAAATGTAGATCTAGCACCATCACCAGTGACGATACCCAAGCTTTCAGGATCTAATGATTTGAAGATTTGTCCATAAAATTGAGTTTCATTCTCACTCAGAGGTTGACGTAAGCTATGTACTGGATTTGACATTTCTTTATCAATTCAATTGAATCTAATAACCTTTAAAATTTGAATTTGAATTCCTGTCAATGAACAGCAGGGAATGATCAAAAAATGTAAGCAAAAATATTCAGAAATAGAGATAACGAATTGAATGAAAACAAAGTTGTGAATGATTCTCTCCAATTTGGTTAGTCTTAAAGTTATGAATTGAATAGGTTATAACTCAACGATGTTTATGTCAAAAAGTGATGAATTCCCGCCAATTCCATTACATTTGCTCTAAACTTCACAATTTCAAAAGGGGCTCGCAGATTGCCAACTGGAGTCGGAATTGAAGCTGGACTGTTGATCGAAACCGGAATTCGGAATATGGAATCTCAAATGTGTTGGTTTTTGAAAGGTTAACAGGGAAACCACCATTTTGCATACGAAGGAATGTTCTGAACAGACAGATAATTGGTGTCAAAAAGCTCTTATTATTGTGGATTTCAACTGCCAAATATTACAGAATATCATAGTATTGATTGTTAAGCTTTAAAGCATCCTCATATGTCAAATTTTCATATCATATAACAATAAGTTGTTTACACGTTATCAATAACAGAATGAGATTAAGAAAATCAGTATTGGCAGGTTTAGCAGTTGCCCTAATCATAGCGGCATATCTAGGATTTGCTGATATTAGCTTGGAACATGATAAATTGGTACATTTCTTTGTGTTCTTTGGACTTACGTTAATGTTTTATTGGTTATTTGAGACTTCTAGTACAAGAGCTATAAGGAATCTTACATTTATTATATGTACATTAGCTGGTGGTATTGGCTCGGAATTCATTCAAGGCCTATTACCATATCGTACATTTGATCCAAAGGATATAATATGTAATGTTTTGGGCTCATCGTTAGCATTAATTTTCTCAGTTATTTATCATAAAAGAATTGTGGAACAAAGAAGACAACAGCGTTATGAACAGTTGAGAAGTTCAATTCCATTAGATGTTGAAGATGTTGATTTTGATATGGATGTTGAGAGCGGTGCTCAAAGTGATCGCTCAAATGATTTAAGCAAATTTTCAAGTAGAGAAGATGTTACAGATATAACGTTGAAAAATATAAAACCAGAACCGGTTGATGATTTAAGTGTGGAATAGAAAGAAATGAGAGAAGAAGGAGAATTTCATTAAGGGGAATGGAAATAGAGGGATAGAAATGAGTGGCTCAAACCTAAGATGTGGTCATTATAAACTAATATAAACGAGAAATACGACGAGACTAAGCAGGACTATATTTAATTAATTGATAATATTCGCATAACATAAATTTTAAAGTAGTCCAATATAAGAACATAAATTCATAAAAAGCGTAGTCATATTTTACAGACTCTCTATAATTGTTGTATAAAACATTAAATATTATATATAAACTATGAAATTTTTATTGTCTAATTTATGATTTATCAAAGAATTGATCACCAGTAAAAAATCCTCTAAAGAAATATTTAGAACCAGTTTCTTTGATCAATTCTTCATCCTCTTTTGACAAATCAAAACTGAAAATATTTAAGGCGTCTCTAATTCTTTCTTCATTAGAACTTGTAGTTATTGGTAAGACACCTTGTTGATATACCCATCTTAATAAGATTTGAGCCTCAGTTTTACCATATTTTGTAGCTAATTCTTTAGTTACTGGAGCTAATGGACCATCTGTGGCTCTGAATAATGGAGTTAAAGGACCATAAGCTTCAATTAATATATCATTTTTTTGTGCAAACTCCACAATACCAGGTGATTGATTGAAAAGATATGGATGGAATTCAATTTGTAAAACTGATGGTTTATGTTTAGCAATTTTCAAGATTCTTTCAGTATTTTCAACATCAAAATTTGAAAGTCCAATGTTTTTAACTAAACCTTCTTCATAGGCTTTTTCAAGATCTTTCCAAGCTTGTTCGATTGTAACACCATGAGTATTTTCTAAGTCAAAGAATTGAGCATGAATTAAATATAAATCAATATAATCAACTTCTAATTCCTTGACAGCAGTTTGAATGGCTTCATATGGTGTTTTACTTGGTGCTTTGAATTTACCAAAACCTGGTGAATATTTATCAGTAATCCAAATATTTGATCTATCAATACCTGATTGTTTAATACCATGTGCAACTTCAATATGAGTGGTATAAATTTCTGCTGTATCAATATGATTAACACCAACTTTTAAAGCTTGAGAAATTGCAGAAGATAAATTCTCATCTAAAGTATGTCTGATATCTTCAGATCTACCTTTTTTAAGATGTTGCCATTTTGTACCAGTACCATACCCAACTAAAATGGTTCATGTCAATAATTTGATGTAATACTTGGTTGAATTACTAATACTTACTAGCTGGGATTTGGCCATTTGGCAATTTGAAAGTTGGAATATTAAAGTCACTTGCAGTCATTATTTAGGTTCAATTGAATATAAATTTAATTGTAGTTATAGTGTGAATGAGATCAGAAGTATTAAATATAAAGGGGAACGGGCTCTTTATATTATTTTGATCTTTAGCGACATTTCAGTTGAAGCACGGACTTATTACTACAATCGGTCATTTTAAAACGCCATATTTTATACCCACAATTTTTGGTGCCACTGTTAGATTTCAAAAAAGGTATTAAATGAATTGTGCTTTGATGGTGTTATATTAGGTTATATGTGCTTCTGATTTAGTCAATTACATTCGAATTAGCGGTTAGTTGTGGGTTGTGGAGCCAATTTTAGTGTATTACTGCAACGATCTCTTATCTTCTTAAAATTTAAAATCGCTGAAGTGTTCTAAAGATCAAAGATAGGGCTAACTACAAGTTACAACCATAAAAATAAAAATTGATTCCATAAATGATTAAATGCATTTTATATTTACATGATTATTACTTATTTAAATGTACATAAAGGTTGAAAATTTATTCAGAAACAAAATTCATCTAAAATCATCTTAATTTAACGTAAGCTCTTTGTAACATGGCAGTTTTATGAATTTGTAATCTTTTATCATAACCTGAAGATTTACCTTCATAAGCTGCAATTAATTCTTCACCCAATCTAACTTCAAAATCTGGAGAACGTCTTTTTTCAGCACCTTCCAAAATCCAAAGGAATGTTGTTCTATGACGTTGTCTTTCAGTTAGAGGTACTGGCATAACAACAGATTTTGCAGCACGAGATTTTTGAGTTCTAATAGCCATTAATGGTGACATTTTATCCAAGATTTCTTTCAAAACTTCAACTGGATCTTTTCTTAATTGTAATTTAACAATATAAAGTGCATTATTCATAACTCTTTGAGCTCTTGCCTTTTTACCATCTTTCATAATCATATTTGTGAAATGTTCTACAACTGGGTCATGTTTGAGAGGTATTGGTCTTTCTTCAAGACTTTCCATTTTTGCTATTTGTTCTGGGGTTGGTTCAAATCCAAATTTTTCAAACCATTTTGATTTTGATTCTTTTTCTACTGGTGAAACACCTTCAGTTGTAATTTGTTTTCTTATATCTTTGATAGCACTTAACCATTGTTGTGCTAATTCATCTGGATCTTCTGGTTTGGTTGCTTGTTTTGGGGTTTCAATTTCAACAGGTTGTTGAGATTCTATTTTTTCAACTTCTTTAGCTAAATCAATTGGTTCATCATCATTATTTATAGATTTATTACTGTTTAATCTCACACTTGTTGGAAACAAAGCGGCTCTTTTCTGTATAGCTGGTCTAGCGCTGCTTATCACAGGCACTCTAAGAACTGATTTAAACATGATCTATTGACTATAAAAGACTGATTCTTCACGTTGTAATTGCACTACCAAAATGTTAATTTTTCAATTGTCAGTAAAAAATCATCAAAAAATCAAAGAAACTAAATTCGCGGCCGCGAATATTTTTTTACCCTGAAGAATTGCGTCGCGAATTCTGGTGATGGTTTTGGCACAAGATGTGTTTTGATCAGGCATCGCGTATACAAATAAGCGGGTTTTGAGCTGGATTATCAAATCTTTTATAATAGAATTAGACTAAGATTAGCATTGCAATTGTCATTATGAGCACAGAGGAGCTTGACTGTATGTTCAGTTTGTTGCTGTTGTGATGTTTTTAGAGAATAATTACTAACTAATTCAGTGGATAAAGTACTTCAAACAATAATACAGAATAAGACATTCAAACAAGATCATGATCAATGGAGCAAAATCCTTTCATTAATACCCAAAAGGCTACGGGATATAGTAAGCACAGAGTATACAGAAGGCTTGAAATACGAGATCAAAGACCCTTTAAATCCAAAAAAGATTGAAAGTATAGAATCATTCATAGATCGTTTAACAAAATATCTTGAAACAAATTTCTCTTTGAACCCGCCATTTACAATAGTTAGATTTGCCGAATTAATAATAAACCCCAAACAATTCAATTCTACAGGACCAAAATTTCTTAGAGCTTTAGAAAATGTATTACAAGTATCTTCATCAATTTCAGATTTTCCAGAACCAACATTTGATATCCCATTAGAATCACAACCTGAAAATCAAAAAAATTCTGATGTTGTTCCTGTCCCTCTTGCAACTGATGATTCACAAACAATGTTACTCACTAAGATCCCATGGCTAACTGATGATGATATTAGGGAAATTGAGAGTGAGAGTTATTTATTAGATGAATTCCCAATTAGTGCACCAACTTCTCATGGTGAATTTGATGGTGATGAACATCCAATTGATTACAATCAACAAAAAGAACATGAATATGAAGTTGATAGAAAAAGACAATTGGAAGGTTCAAAAGATTCACCTGAAAAGAAACATAAAGCTGAAGTTGAACATGATGAACATAAAGATAGCAATGAACAAGGAGATGATGAAGATACAAGTACGATTGGAAATGATACTTTAGATGAAGACAAAGGTGAAACAAGTGTTGCCGATACAACTGTCGGTGATGCAACCATAGGTGATACTTCAATTGCAGATACTACCATAGGAGATGCAACTACAGAAGGAAATGAAGAACATGAAGCAAATAATGAAGAAGGTTCTGAAACTGGCAATGATACATTAACTGAAAGATCTACAATAAATGAAGAGGATAAGCAAAAGAATACTGTTGAAGATGAAGAAAATAAACAAGTAAAACCCAATGATATCTCGACTAGTAAAAAAAGTGATGAGAATGAAAATGATGAATCAAATACATCAACTGGTAATGAAACTTTTGAAGAGGATAAAATGGATATGAATACAACTTTAGAAGAAGATAAGATGGAATTAGACTAACACTAGCTATTATAATCTACAATTTATCATGAAGTTTATTAATAATTTTGCAAATTGTTGTATATGTATAAAAAATGACTATAATAAAAATTCACGCCTAATAATCTATTAATCGATTAATTGAAAGTTTTCAATATTCATATGATGTAGTTATATATGATAATTCAAATTCATTTATATACATTTATTTTAGTTTGAATAATCATATTGGTAACACATGTGATTGATAGATATATTGATTTGTAAACTTTCTGTTTATTTTCTTAATGATTGTTGATAATTGAAGCATAAATACATAAATAAGTTTTTATAAATTTCTTTAAAAGATCATATGATCTTTAATTGAATATAATATGACATTGGAATAAAGTTAAATATTGATCATTTATAAGATCAATGTTTATTTTTTGTTTTGATTTGATTTGATGAGATGAAGATTGTTTTGTTAATACGAATGATAATTGTTAAATTTTCTAATTTTTTTTAATATATATTGATTAATATTGTTTTTTCTAATTTTTTTTCTTGAATATTATAAATTAATTCTTTTCTAAAATTATATGTATTATTTACATCTACCATCTTAACATTGAAGTATCGTTTCTGATTCTGTTGTAATCTAATAAATCTTCGATTTGACCAGTACCAGCAACAACAACATCTTGATCCCATAATTTTTCACTAGCCCAAGCGTTAATTGATTTAACGTTAACTTTATCGATTTGAGCGAAAATTTCATCTGCAGATGGTCTTCTACCTTGACCAACAACTTTTGAACCAATGTCATTAGCAACTGCTAATGGAGTTGATAATTCAAATAAGATTTGGTTTTTCAATAATTGTTTACCTCTAGCAACTTCAGTATCACTGATTGAAATAGATAATCTGTTCCATTCTTTCAAAGCGAAATGAACTAAATCATCAATTTGACCAACATTTGAAATTTTAGTTGAGAAACCCCATAAACCAGCATCTTTATAAGATAATGAGAAATGGTTCCAGGTATCAGCTAAATGGTTTTCATTAACAATACCAGTTAATTTAACACCAATGTTTCTTGAGATTGGTTCACTGTAGTTATAGTTACCAAAGATTGCAGCAGCAACTTTAGCATTGTAGTAGTTTGGAGAGTTTAAAGCTTCACCATTTTGAGCAATTGAAATGTAAGCATGAGGTAAAGTATCATCTCTTAATCTAACTTCAGAACCTAAGAATTTTGGTTTACTAATTTCTGGAGCTTCACCTTTTTGAACGTTGAATTTTTTTTCAACTAATTCAACAATTTCATCATGAACAACATCACCAGTAGCAACAACAACGGTGTTTGAAGAGACAAATTGTCTTTGTTTAAATTTGTTTAAATCTGAGAAAACTAAGTCATTTAAAGTTTCTGGAGTACCAATGGTTGGTAAACCTAATGGAGTGTTTTGGAAAGCGGTAGCATGTAAATGTTGTAAAACTCTTTCAGCGTGTTTATTTTCTTCAAAAAATTCAGCTTCTTGAGCAGCAATACCACGGTATTTTAAAGCTGAAGCTTCAGCGATTTCTGATTGAGCAACTTTAGCAGTTAAAAGATCTAAAGCATTTGGTAAAGTTTGTTTTAAACCTTGAGTGTAGTAAGCAGAGTAATCTCTATCAGTGGTAGCACCTAATTTTAAACCATTTTTGGTAGCTTCAGCTTGGTTTTCATTGACAATGATTTTGTTTAACAAAGTGGAGACACCGTTGTTGTATGGATTTTCAGCAGTAGAACCAGCACCAAACCATAAACCTAAAGTAGCAGATTTAGCTTGTGGATTAGCTTCAGTTGCAACGGTGACACCATTGGTCAATGAAGTGTATTGAGTTTTCCCGTGGGCAGTGGCGATTGAGCGGTGCAAGGTGGCAGCACGCTTGGTGGATGAGCGAAGAGCTGAGGATCTGAGCATCTTTGTTTTGGGGGGTTGTGCTGTTGAGCTGTTCTCTTTCAGTTGATACTTTTAGATGTTGTTTAATTGATCAGTACAAAAATTTTGATTACCACTGAAAATATCAAAATATCCAAAAAACCATTTGTGAGAATTTGGCCAATGAAAAAATGCGAATTGCAAAAAATAAGAAATCCGGTTCGCGCACGTGATTTTTATATTCGCGAAAAACTGTCGGTATGGGACGCATTCAGCGATGAGTATTAATTAATTTTATAGAGATTTGTAAACTGAATGATAATATTGGTTTAGCTTTGTTTGTGGATACGTATTGATAAATATGCTTAGATTACAACCAGGTATCATCCGTCCAGCTCTACGCTTTCCAACTGCCGGTTTAGCCAAAAGAACCATCTCTCTCAAGCCAGATTTTAACAAGTATAAGCTTATTGAACAACCAGCTGGTTATATTGTTGGTACTGTTAATGAAGCTACTCCACAAGCTGAAATTAATTATTTCCATGGTTCTTATCATTGGTCTTATGAAAGATTATTAGCTGTTGCTTTGGTTCCATTAGCTACTACTCCATTCATTTCACAAGTTGATTTCCCTATATTGGATGCTTTATTAGCTACAAGTGTCTTGGTTCATTCACATATTGGTTTCACTTCATGTATTATTGATTATATTCCTAAAAGAGTTTATGGTATATGGCATAAATTCGCTAGATATTTATTAACCCTCGGTACAACTGTTGGGTTATATGGTATTTATCAAATGGAAACTACTGATGTTGGTTTAACAAATTTAATTAAAAAAATTTGGAAAAATCCAAATTAATTCATATCTAGTTCTGGAAATCATTAACATTATTTATATTTGGTTAATTTATTTGTATATACAATTCATCAAAATGGCATTATAGAATATTATATGGCGTTCATTATTGTATTGATTTCTCAGCACCTTCTCTAGCTAATTGATCCGCTTGTTCATTACCCTCAATACCAACATGACCTTTAACCCAAGTGATTTCAAATTTAAAGTCATTGAAAATTGGTGAATTATCATGATAAAATTTCCTTATTTTCCCAAAATTTTCAACAATTTGTTTTAATTCAGGTAAATCTGATCTTTTTTCATAATCTTTATCAGTCCAATGTGAAGCATATGAATGTAATATATTCTTCATTGTTTCAGAATCTGATGATATTGAATATTTGGGCATGATTTCTAATTCCCCGGATACATATTTTTCAACATCTTTCATTACATGTGACAAGACATACTCTATAGCTTTTGCTTCAGATATAAAACTATTTTTTGGTTCCTTTTTCAAAGGTTGTGCAATGTTTCTATAATCACCAGGTCCAAAATAAACACCAAATCCTGCCTTACTTTTACCATACGAACTAGCTATAAATGAACCATCACAGAAAACAACAGTAGGTTTTAATTCTTTTTGTCTTTGTAAAATTGCCTCTGAATTTTTTTGTAAAAATAATTCAGTCATATTATCTTTTGAAGTTGGTGATGATGGTGTATCTTGTTCATCTGGCATTGTGAAAAATTCTGCAGACATCAAATTATCAAATCTTTTAAAAGTAACACCTTGAATTCCACTTGTAGCTTTTCTGCACTCATTCCATGTTTTCACAATCTTAGATTTACCAGATTTATATTTAATACCATAAAATGTATCTCCACTAGGATCAATATTTGATTCTTGTTCTTGCTCTTGTTTTCTTGCTTTATTTTGAGTCTCATTTACGTCTTCTTCCCCTCTAGCTCGTTTCAATGAATTTATATCAATATCATCTTTATAACCTTCTTTAATATTATGTCGCCTTATAAAATTTTCAGCTTCTTTTAAAGAATAAAATTTTCTATATTTGCAGTCATCCAAACCTTTAATTTGTTCACTACAAGCACTCCAGTTGTTATAAATACCTTGTTTATGACCTGAAGCAACTGCATAAAATATTTGTTTGCCTTTTTTGATAGTTATGTTGGAACCATCACCATTGATAAATGATTTAGCCTCTGTTTCAGATGGAAATTTTTTATAAACAGCACCAGCATAACCTATGACTTGCTCCTTACAATCATTCCAATTATGGAAGATTCCAGTCTTACGACCATCTTTAACAGCATAAAAGGCAGCTTTTGCCATTCGTTTAAAAGATAATATTGTGTATGATTTGATGATTTGATATGATGAAATTTGGTTCTCCTACTTTGAATTGTGGAGTTTTGACCCTGGAAGAGATGCAAAATTCAATATCCTTATATTTCTTATTATACTGATACTTCTATGAATATCCTTTTTTGTAATAATAGAAGAAAAGACCATAGATACAAATACAAATGAAATAAAAGTTACTTATATTAATTTATGAAATTTCGCGGGATATGATGACATAATCCTTCCCACCAAAAATGTCGAAAAATTATAAGTATTAAATTTGAAAAATCACCAAAAAAGCTGATATTTTAATTTAAAACAGTTTGAATTTACCAAATTTATTCATAACAAAGTTCATTCAAAATGGGTAATTTTCGTTTTCCAGTGAAGTTCAAACTTCCATCTTCATATATCAATCATATGATTTTACGTGATCATTTCAAACGTTTACAATTTGCTGAACATGAAGTCACTTCAAAAGCTTTAAAATACATTGCAAGAAATACACAATTACCACCAAGAGCTAGACTAGAAGCTCAACTACAGTTAGCTACCATGCCAAATTATACCAGATATACCCAAGTTAGAGATCGTTGTGTTAATAGTGGTACCGCTAGATCTGTCTTGAAAAAATTCCGTTTGAATAGAGTAAGTTTTGACCCTTGTTAGATGACAAAGATGAGATTTAATACTAACATGTACACTTTTAGACACAATTCAGAGATGAAGTTGCTCAAGGTTTATTACCAGGTGTTAAAAGAGGTTGTTGGTAGATTATCTTCATCTTATTGTAAAAGTTTTTTAAACACATGGAGTTTTTTGTGGGTTTTGGTAAATAAAAGAAAGCTATAAGTTTAGAGCATTACAAGAAAAAGAAAGGAAGGTTTTTGAATATTAGATATTGGTATACAATTTTAACGAGTTATGTAAATAGAAGTTTAGTTTCAAATACAACGTTTGAACTTATATGTTAAATTTGACTTTTCAAGTAGATGTAAGTAAAGATATTAAGGTCGATATACCACCATTTTAAACCGTTTTTTTACTAAAATATCATTTTTGGATAACCTGAGTTCATTAATAGCATAAAAATCCATTTTACTTATATAGTTTCCTGGTTTTCCGTTATATAATTGTTGAAAGGCTTCCCAGTTTGCCCAGGTGAGCGAAAATCAAAAAAAAGTCTGTATAATTGAACGTTCCCAAACAATCCTACACTTTATCGTCAAAACGTATTCAAACAACAACGTCTATTAGAAAGCATTGAGTTGAACCAGAACATCAGGACATTGCATATGCTGCCTGCAATTTAAAAGGTACATTGTGTATTTTCTCGGTTATTTTCCTGTTGTGTTTAGGGATTGGGTTTATTGTTTACATCAACTCCTTGAGTTTCGCGTTATAAAAGGTATAAACAAACTTGATTAAAGAACAACAATAATTGCAAAGAGATAGAAATCAATTAATCAATATCAATAAGAAAAAGTTTGCTTTAGCTCTTAATCCACTAATTTTCATTTTGCTTGCTATTCATATACTTTATTAAACCATGGTTAGTGATAACGACCTTGATCTGGATTATGAAGAACCAGTTCAATACTTTCCTCAAAGAGTTTCAAGAAGATCAGCCAAAAAGAACTATTGGAAACAAATTTCTGATTTCTTTCAAAATTCATTCGTACCTGAATTTGATGATTCATTACTTATAGAAGCTGTTGAAGATTGTGCTGAATGGAAACGTTACACAGAACAAGATGTTGATGATATAGAGATCCTTTATGAACGTAATAATGGGAAAGGACGTGTCTTATCGACTTTATCTTCAGATGATGAAGATGATTTCATCCATAGAGAATTGGAAAAATTCAAATTGGATGGTAAACTTTGGGTTTTATCAGGTCTTTTCCAAGCTCCATATACTGATAAAAAGAAAAAATTTGAATTTGCTTTACCTCAAGGTAAAGGTTTAAAAGTTTTAAATACTGTTCAAGATTTCAAATTACCTTGGAATATATACTGTCCAACAATTGACGGTGAGAGAAATATTGTTAAATGGAAACATGGTTTGAAACGTAATCAATGGTTATTAGAAAATCCATTTATTGCTAAAAAACAAGTTAATGAAGTTTGTTCTTGTACTGGTGTAAGATGTGGTAGTACATGCTTGAATCGTTCAGTTCAAATTGAATGCACTCCAAATAATTGTAAATTTGGTGATCAAGATTGTGGTAACAGAGCTTTTGCTGATTTAATGAATGCTTATCGTGATCATAGTAAATATGCTTTTGGTTGTGAAGTTTTACAAACTGATAAAAAAGGGTGTGGTTTACTATCAATTAGATCCTTTAATGCTGGTTCTCTGGTTGTTGAATACACTGGTGAAGTTATTCATCTTGATGAAGTTGAACATAGACTGAATACAATCTATAAAGAATCTGATAGTTATTACTTTTTAGGTCTTGAAGAAGAATATGTTATTGATGCTGGTCAAAAAGGTTCAGTTGCAAGATTTGCTAATCATTCATGTGATCCAAATGCTGAAATGCAAAAATGGTACGTTAATGGTGAACCAAGAATTGGTTTATTTGCTAAAAGATCTATTGAAGCTGGTGAGGAAATTACTTATGATTATAATTTTGAATGGTTTGAAAATGGTGAACCTCAAAAATGTTATTGTGGATCTAAGAATTGTCATGGTTTTATAGGTAAAGCTCCTAATAATGAAGATGATTCAGATGATGAACCAGCTGATAAAAGAGGTATCAAAGTTTCTCATCCTTCAAAAGCTACAACTATTTATTCATCAGATTCATCTTCAGACTCAGATCTTGAAGATTTTGACCAAGTTGATCTTGTTGAAGCCTTGGAAAATTTTAATCATGATTATGATGCAAATAAAGCAAAATTGAATAATAAAAATTCCAAAGGGAAATATTCACCAGGTGCTAAATTAAAAGAAGTCATGGTTGGTGAGGATAATAAGAATAATAATAAAGAGAATATTGAAAATAATAAATCTACACCTAAGAAGGCTAATACATCAGAATCAAAACCATTAAGGGAAGAGTTTGAAAAACAATCAACTAAATTGAAACAACCTGAACAAAAAACTTCCAATGTTAGAGGAGCTCAAAGTCAACCACCTGCTGATCCAAGAAAACAACCTTCCAAGAGAAATGAAGCTAAAAAGACAACAGACAGTTCTAGACCAAGTTCCAAAGATACCTCATCTACAAGAAGAAATAATTCACCATATGCCCCAGAATATCCAGATGATAAACCTGTCAAACGTACTTCTAGAAGAAATATGGGAGCTGCTTTTACTGATCTTGACCCCGAACTAGCACCACAATTGAAGAACTCTTTTGCAATCAATATGGCACCACCGGGTGGTAAGACTGATATCAAAGAACAAGTAGCTGCTGGTGTGCAATCAACTCAAACATCATCTCCACCAAAAACTTCTAAAAAAGCAGCAGCATCTCCACCGAAGAATACCAATAAAACACCATCATCACCACCAAAAAAGAAACCAGCTTCAACTTCTGCTTCTGCTTCCAAAAAACGTTCTGAACCAAGTGCAGCTGAAGAATCTTCTCAGAAACGTAAAAAACCAAAACTTATCATTGATACATCATCAGAAGAAAGTAATGAAAGTGATGATGAACCAATTTCTAAATCTGCAAGTCAAAAAGCACCTGAAAAAAATGGTAATGCTCGTGATTCTTCAAGTGATTCTTCAAATCGTATAACTCCAATTGATCAAAAAGCATTTAAAGAAGCTAAAGAATCAAAATCTTCATCACATTCGAGTACCAAACCAACTTCAGCATCAACAACAGCTAAGAAAAGTTCTGTATTTGGTAAAAGAAGAGACCCAATATCACGTAAAACTGAACCTGTTGAAAAATCATCAAGTCCTGTTAAACAACCTGCAAGTTTTGGAGGATCAGAATTTTTCAATTTGAAAAAGGCTAAAAGAAATCAAAATCAAGCACCAGTTCAAACTACTGAATCTTATCAATCATCACCACCAACTACAGCATCATCGAATGCACAGCCATCAGCTCCATCACATTCAAATGCAGCCATTGATAGTTCATATCGTCCAACAGCTGAAAGTAGTGAATTAGTTGTTCATGAATCTGCACAAAATTATGTTCAACCAGCAGGTCCACATACTTATGATCATTATTATGATAATTGGAATGGTTATTATGAAGATCCAAATTATCATAATTATTATTATGGAGATCAATATTATCAACAATATCCACCATATCAAGGTCAACATTATCCTCCTCAACCTCAACCACAACCACAATCACAACCGGCTTATGGAGAACCATCTACAAGTACAGCTGTTGCATCACCAAAAGTACAGCCATCATATCCAGAAGGTTATTATCAACCACAACGTCCACAACCAGGTTATCCAACACAAGAAGGTTATCCATATTATCCACCTCCTCCACAACCAAGAGGTTATCCATATTATCCACCTCCTCCTCAACCAAGAGGTTATCCATATGGTCCTCCACCTCCTCAACCTTATCCTACACAACCTGGTGGTGCTTATGGATATGCTCAACCTTATGGAGCTGCACCATCTTATCCACCTGGTGCTTTTAGTGCTGATGCTGAAAATGAAATGCTTGTTGAATCACCTCAAGAAGCTTTTGCAGATGAAGTTTTAGAACAATCTGAAAATGAACAAGAAAAGAAAAAAGATGGGCCTGATATTCCAGCTGATCCAAGAAGACGTAAGAAATGAGTATGGTCTAAGTTCTTATATCCATATATGAATAACTTGCTCTTTTTTACTAGACTAGTTTAATAAGTTTTTATTTTGAAGCGTTTTATTTAATTTCTCGTTTGTGATTTTTTTGAAATATTGTATTATAATATATGTTTATTGTTTTTATATCATACATCTACAGTATAAAAATGATCTATTACGAAATTCTTATTATTTACCTTCACTCTATACATTTTTAGGTGCTTTAGTTCTTCTTTTAGGACCTTTAGTTCTTTTTTTAGTCAAATGTTCTAAATTTTCAGTACTGCCTTCATCCTGAAGTTTCCCTGTACTTGAAGAATCAAAAGTTGAAGCTTTTTTCAAATTTGGTAAATTATCAGTTGTAGCCATGAATGGTAATCTAACAGGATTTAATTCTGAATCAGTAGAAGCTTTTTTCAATCTTAATACATTTTCTAAATTTTTAGATTTTTCTTCTTTTGTTAAAGAAACTTGTGAATTCTCTTGAGATTTTTCCTTTGTTGATTTTAAAGAACCTAATTGATTATTTAAAATATCTTTAGAATTACTGAAAACTCTTGGTTTTGGTTTTATCTCAGGTGATTGGATCCCATTTTTCCTAGATTTTAATTCATTAAATTGTGCTAAAGCTTCAACTTCCTTTTGTGAAATTTTTCTTTGTGGTACAGCTGGTTTTAATTGAGATTTTTTATTAACAGCTTCAGGTGTTGGTTCTTCCAATTGTTCTAATTTATTAGCTTGACGTAAATTTCCCTTTTTAGTTAAAGCTTCTGGAATTTCAATTGATGGTTTACGAGCTGGTAATGCAGGTTTTAATTTTTCAACTTTTTGTAAAGCTTCGGGTATTTTCAATGATAATTTACGAGCTGGTAATGCAGGTTTTAATTTGGATTTATGATTTATAGCTTCTGGTGATTCCAAAGTTTCAGATGGTGCAGGGGATGGTGATTTAGAAGCTGGTGATAATTTTTGTTTCAAGAAATCTGGATCATCTGGAATAGTTAAATTTTTGGATGGGGAACCTGTTCTTGTTTTTTTCAAAATTGTTGGTGAAAATCCTGTATCTTCAGGTTCAAATTTTGGTAATGATCTTGGTTGATTATCAATATGATTTAATTTTCTATTTTCTAATTCTTTTAAAGTTAAATGTTGTTGCTCTTTGAACTCTTGTTCTTTTTTCAATTTTTCTTGTAATGTATTTGATTTTGATGGTATTATTGGTTTAATTTTAGGTTGAGGAATTTCAAATTCTCTATGAGATGTATTTCTCATTGCAGAATTTAACCAACTTTGTTTCCTATCTTCAGAAGTTTCAATATGAATCTTGGACGTTGTATCTTGACCTTGTGGAGTTGATGAAGTGTTCCTTGTTGCAGAATTTAACCATGATGCCTTTTTATCAGTTTGTGGTTTGATTTGATAGTTAACACTTGTATCTTGCCATTGTGAAGTTGATGAAGTCTTACCAGCAGCAGAATTCAACCAAGAAGGTTTATCATTTCCATTCTTCTTATTAATTTGATAATTAACACTTGTATCTTGCCATTGTGGAGTTGATGAAGTCTTACCAGCAGCAGAATTCAACCAAGAAGTTCTCTTTCCAGTATCATTACCCAATTTTGTAAAACCTAATGGTTTTGGTGCAATTGGTGGTGGTGTTAATCTATCTTGATTTTCATTATCTTTAGTGAATTTTGAAAAATCTAATTTTGCAGGAGATTTTTTAATTGGTGAAGAAGTTATTGATGATTCATAATCAATTTTTGTTGGTGAGCTTAATTCTGTTTTCCTTGGTGATCTTTTCAATTGTGATAGTGAAGATGATGACTGTGCGTTTAATGAAGGTTTTGGTTTTTCTTTTGCTGCATTTGTCCATGAATTTATTTGAGGTTTTGGTGATTGGAATGGAGATGATAATGAAGGATTCGAATTTTGAAGTTTAGATGATGGTAATATTCCACCTTTTCTTTCTCTTGTTAATGGTTTGGGTATTTTTTGATCATCTTCTTGTTCTTGTAATTCAATTTGATTTGTATTTTTACTTATTTGGAATCCATCACCAATAAGGTTATTTATAGTTTCATCCATTTGTTTTTTTTCTTCATCAGATAATTGGAACTTTGAATATCTTGAAGATTTAAAGCTTTGTGTTGAATTTGGTATATAATCATCAAATCTTTTAATTTCAAGTTCTTTATCAAATTTTTTATAAGTTTTTTCACGATTTAAAGAGCCAGTTGATGATCTAAATTTTGAATCATCATTATGATCCACTTCATTCAAACGATCATATGCTTCATATTCCAAACCTTTTGTTAGGCCACCAGTTGTTGCTCTAAATTGTGAGTCATTTGATGATGGATTAAATATTGTGCTACTTCTTTTGGGTAATTCATTAATATCCAAATTTTTCCTTGAACGTTCAGTTAATGATCTTGTTAAATTTTCAGTATGTAATGGGATTGTTGGTTTTTCTTTTGAAGGTGACTTTTGAGCTTTTTCATAGTTATAAGCAGATTCATATATCAATTCATCCATATCAAGTCTATATTGTTTAGAAACACTTTTATTAAAATTTTGTAATGATTCAGAATTTGGAATTGATGATAAGTTTGGTTTTCTTTTAGGTAATGGTGGTGGTGATCCATTCTGTTCATCTTTTCTAGCAATAGGATTTGGTATTTGAATATTGAAAGAATCTCTCATTTTATAAGTTTGAATATCATCTTTTAATTTTTTTCTACGTTCTTCATCTTCTCTTTGTCGTTGATTATCCAATTGTTTAACTCTTTGTAAGAAATCCTCAACATTTCCTTCAACATCCATGATTGATTGATGACTCCCTGTAATTTCTCTATAGCGAATGAATAGGATTAGAATTAGCAAATATAAGTAGTTTGAACCTAATCAATCAAATTAAAATGCTCTGATTATTTCATTCTTTTGCTTTGTTTTCATTTCATTTCCCATCAAAACAATGAAAATTACTAAGAATAGAATTACGTAAGAACAAATTAACGAATATACAAAAGTTGATTATAAGCTGATTATGACTTCTACTTTATACGACAATTGTTATGTCTTATCAAAATGATTAATATCTATACGCTATGTTATTGTCAATCTGATTGAACTTGATATTAAATTGTGTAATATTAACGATTATCTTTTACCGGGTGCTTTTTTTGAAATTTGATATTTGATATCTCATGTCTTTGTGGATCAGAAAAAAAAATATATAAATTCAAAAAAATATCTTTTTTTAAATTTATCAATGTTTGTATTTCTAAGCTAAGCTCTCTTCTCTATTATAACCATCACAAACTAGTTCATTTGGAATTAGTTGTTCTAAGTTTCAACACCATTTTGAATCATTAACTGATGGTTGTTTGAATATTCTAAGGTTTTTCAGCCATTTTTAATTAGCACTAGATCAATTGTTATGTTATTTTCATTGTAAATATTCTCTTTATAAAAGACCACCTTTATAATCATTTGTTGGAAGTTTTAAATAGAATCAATAATATATAATTTGATTTTTTTATGTTAACATATATTGATTTTAAAATAATCATATTGTTATATACAGAATTAATCATCTTAACCTTTTAATTATTCATATTTGTAGTACTTTTAAATAGATTTGTAGTAATCCAAATCAGTAGTTTGTGAATTATATTAGCCGCCCAAAAGACGAAATTGAAAATTTATATAAATTCAAAGAAATCCTTGTTTTTTTGTTTTCTTTTCTTTGTATAACTTTTTCAAAACCATTTAGTGTTATTGAATATGAAACTGTTCAACTTTAATGTTGACCCAAAAAACTATTGTTGTACCTATCACCAGCATTCTCTTTTGAAGGATTGTTCTCATAATTCTATGGTGGTATGGTGTTGATGTTTAAATCATTGATTGGTTTAACACTCATGAATTATTACCTTAATTGGTACCTTATAATTTAAAGTACTAATACATATGTGATTTTAATATCATTAACATATATATAACTGGTCATGACATGATCATGATATTGTTTTCATATTTAGAATCATCTTGATCTTTAAATTAAATTCAAATTTGTAGTATACTTGTAGAAGTAATTGATTGATATCAAATAATGTAATCTGTACTTTTGATTGTAATTTGTAGCTCAACACATCCGTTGTATTTAAATTGAGTACCAACCAATACAACACATTTTTAAAATTATATAAAATTAATGATTTCTATTAATTTATAATAACTTAGACGTATAGCTATTATAAGTATAATGTTAATATGATTATGTAATGACTTACTAAGTTAATTAAAATACATCAAGATCAAAATAATTCACAATAAAATCATACCTATTATAATCAGTAAATGATGAATTCATTGGTTATAATTGCTTTATGTCATTATTATGGGTTCTAAATTTTTAATATTTTTATTTCAAAACTTTTATTGACCTTCAAATTTTTATATGTACTTTAAAATAAAATATTTCAAAAAATAGCTAAATTTAAAGCTTTGAATTTATAATAATTGGCTATATCACAATAATCCTAATCTTTTAAAGACAATTGTACCATATTAAAAACACCATATTATCACTCAAAGTTTTATTCAAAAAGCCACTTTAAATTTCAAATATTTGACACATTTTAAAATAATCCTGTGCAAACCGATTTCTTATATATCTCCGGAGTTCGGACAATTATTCGATTATAATATAGCTTTTGAATTTAGTTTTATAGTTTTACTATGAAGAAACGTAGCTGTGTTATAGTTGTTTATCTTGAAATATCATAATCAGCGCTCCAAAACTTAAAGGCTATTTACAATTCCATAATGTCAGCGGCTGAATCATGGTGAGTCATTAGTTTATAAGCTGCTGATACAAGTTAACTACAAATTCACCAACTAGAGTTATAACTTATAAGCGCCATGATATTAAACTACACAAACTGTTCTCAAATTTATCAAAAATTACAAAGCATATGATTAATTGATTCATTATAGTTCTTTTCCAAAACTATAGTTGATATCAACAATCTATATACTTATAGTTATTTATTAATATATAATGTTTTGAATCTAATATATAATAAATTTTTAATCATAATTCATCATAAAATCACTGTCAGAAAAAGTAAAGTACCACTCAAATCTTACAACAACTCCTTAAATGTTCTAAATTAGTCCACAAGCAGGTCTAAAATGTTCACAAATGTTCATCAAGGAAATCATTTAATGAGTCCACAAGTCGTTCACCCAATAACTTCGATGTTTCGGGATCAAAATTTACCATTATCAGTAAAATTTAACATGGATTAAAATTAAATAAGGAAAATTTAAAATTTTAACTCAATATTACTTTAAAGCTTTTATTTTTATGATAAAATTGATTTTTTGGTTTTGTGGTTAATGAATAATTTCATTCCGATCTCCGATTATATGTAATTATTTCCTTCAGTACTAATACACTAGTATAGTGGTTTACTATGCTGATATCTGCTCTTGCTAATAATTTCATATATACCTCGTTAATTCGATTAGTCCGCTAGCTCGTAGTTTAAGCAGCTCACTATAAACTTGTATGTTAAACTGTCTTCGTCTGAAAACGTAAAGGTTAGCTTTCATAATATCATAAAGTCAGCGGTTAATTCATGATTGAGCTATACACCATGATATTTTACTTCTATATTGACATGTTAATCAGAATTTCATTAGGCTAGGGATTTAAGCGCCATGAATAACTACAAATCATTAAATTAGTTATAAAATATATAAAGCATATAATTAATTATATTGATTCTTCATAATTCTTTCTCAAAATTAAAGTTAAAATCAATAATATATACTTGTAGTTATTTATTAATATATAATTATGTATATCTTGGATATATATAAGAGAACACGTAATAAAGGTGGCCAATAAATTCAAATAAATTATAAAAAAACAAAAAAAGTCATTTGCAAATTAAAACTGCAATCATCTCGTAATTTCATAAGTAGAGCTTGATAATTTGGAGAGTCATTCAAAACCATATTCAATTAACTGACCAGTGTCTTATTTCAAACATTTAACCCATCTATATATGTACATCAAAAATTTTGAGTTTGGAAAAACAAAACTTTTGAATGAAAATTAAAATATAGGAAAAATTTAAAACTTATATAATAAAACTGGTTTTGTGGTTGATAAATTTAGATCCTAATAATCATTCCGATGTGTTCCGATTACAGAATATATTAACTCAATTAACTCCTTCTTGCAGTTGAAAGTTATATTATATTGGTCTCAAGGATTGATTAGTACTACATTTAAATCATTTCATATTAACCATATATAACCATATCTAAAAAAACCTATAAAAACCCATGAAACCCATATCCTTAACCATATAACCTATAAATAACCCGTATATAAAAAAAAACCTTTCCCATGAATTCAAAAGATTATATCCCATACACTTCCAGAGTTGTATGTTTTATCTTAATACATCATCTTTTGTTTTTGTTTAGAATTACATTTAACAATAGTTTGTAATTCCAAGATATATTTACCTTCTTTATATTTTTGATCACGAGAATCAGTATGATGATATTTCCAACCAACCAAATTTTTACATTGATGACAACGAATATCACTAACAAGATAAGCACCAGTAATCATTTGACGAATTTGCTTTGAACCTTGAACTATATTAACAACTTTATCCATTAAATAAGCATCACCTGTACGACCTCTATAATCTCTTGATAAGATTAAATTAGAGCTTGATAAATGTGTTCTACAACCTCCACAGCCATAAGTAAAAGCTGTGACTCCATCTGAATCAATATAAGTTGAATAACGGAATCCCATGTTTGGTAGTTGTTGTTTCTAGTAAGGGTTATGGCGCTTTTAAGGATTAACCGCTGTGTTTCAAAATTGTTCAATTGAAGTCAAAATTTGATGGTTTTGTTCACAATGATCTTGTTATTCTTATTTGTTGATTTCAATTGTGTAATATCCTTGTGTATTTTATCAATATAAATTCTTTTGTCTAGTAAATAGTTGTTGGTTCAATTTAAAAGTTTTAGGGAATTCTAGAATTTTATAAGAATTTGAAATTTACAACAAGAATTTTAAATTTAAGTACTAAAACATAAACTAAAATACAATTGACTTTAAATACATAAGTTCACAGCTATAACAATTGCTATCTAAGAAGATACAATGAACAGGAATATAGCTATGAGTATCTGGATTGTAAGTATACACTATATTACCACATCACTTTATTTCTTATCATTCTCTTTATCTCTCCTTAAACATTGTTCCACTGTTCCACTATCAAAAGATTATTAAGCCACTATTATTAAGCAATACATCGGTTGATAAACACTAGACCATAATTTGCTATTCTAAAAGGTATTGATATACTTTTGTCTTAGTTATATTACACATTCCAATGTTTATAAATCATTTGATCAAAGTGGTATTTCACTAATGGTATAATGGTATAGTTAAATGCAATCAATTATCCAAATCAAGTAATACCTGATAAGGTAGTTCAATATTACCACAATTTATGATTATTTTAATGATATATAAATAGACAAAGAGTTAGACATCAGTCTTAGACAATTGAGTGACAGCTCAAACCAGTGGTAATCATTAGCCGCTGTATAACTGTGGAGTACTATGGTGATTCAGATCGTATAAGCAGCGCCATTAAGTACTAATGATCTGCCACAAAAACAAATAATTTGAATATATTTGGAAAATTAAAAAAGTATAAATATGAAGGAATTTGTTGATATATTTTAATCTTTTATTTATGATTCATTGTCATGTCGTCAATTAGTATATCTCCTGATTTGAAGTTTTCTTTAATTTTTTTGTTGGTAGCTGGTTGGTAACAAAAAATTGCACACCATGGTTGATTTTCATTAACGACCTTGTTGGATTTGGATTTAACTTCAACGTCTTGTTTTCTTTGAACTAAAATACATTCAAGAGTATTTGTAATTAGTTTAAATACAATAAATATGAATAAACATATGATGATGATTTTATAGAAATGTTCATTGATTAAGTTCAAGACAATCTATAAATTGAAATCAATGTATTAATAATTTCAATAATCAATATATACTTGTAGCTAGTAACTTGAATAATCTGGTATATCTTTAGAGCACATATGTCTCTATCAAATCATCAAAAGCTGACTATCAAGATTATAAATAAGTTGATTAAAAGATTATTGGTATATTACTAGTATTATCACTTGTACCAGTGAGCCCTAACCTTTCCATATCCGGACATAGCACACTAAAATCATTAATTGACTAATTTATATTCAAAATAAAACATTGAACAGAAATAAAATAATATAAATAAAACTGAGTAACATAAGTACACTCTATCATTCACATATTAGTTACAAAATATTCTGATCCTTGTTAAAATTCATATTCAATGCAGTTTTTGTATTTAAGTTAAATTTCCGCGATCTTGAAAATGTAATTAAATGTTCAAAAAAACATAATAAACAAAATATCGTATTTAGATATCAATTCAAGACAACCCAGTTATATATTAGTTCATGCTTTAGTTGAAGAAGATGGAGTACATCAAAGTGGCAAGGGTATGACTGACTAGTAACAACATTTGAAAGAGAATATGACTAACTTTTTCCACAGGTTGATAATGTTATCTTGCATAAGCGAGGTTATACAATTCATGGTTCTTTACATTTAACAACTCATCATTTAATCTTCACAGTGAATAATCCACGTCCTAATGAACTAAAAGAACTTTGGCTTTGTTATCCAATGATATCTAGTGTTGAAAAAAAAAAGGGATCTGCTTTATTAAGTTTAATTGATTCAAATTATTTAGATAATATAAATAATGATTATTTAAATAAAGATGAATTTGAAAATAAAATTATTAAAAATTTACCAAAATTATTTAATAATCAGGGGAAAGAATTAAATTTATTCAAAATTTCAACATTAAAATTAAATTGTAAAGATTTTAATTATCTTTCATTTGATTTTGAAAATGAATTAAATTGTATTGATGTTTTTGAATCCATAATAAAATTAACTTGTCTTTCTGATATAAATCAATTATATGCATTCATTTATCAACCAAATTTAATAGAATCAAAATTTAATTCATGGAATTTATATGATCCAATAAAAGAATTCAAAAGACAAGGTTTAAAATTTGATCATAATAATAATCATGATGAAGAATCATTTACAAATTGGAGAATATCTCAAATAAATTCAAATTATTCATTTAGTCCAACTTATCCAAATACTATTATAATACCTAAAACTATATCAGATAGTGTATTGATTCATGCATCAAAATATAGATCAAAACAAAGAATCCCTGCATTAACTTATTATTATAAAAAAAATGGTTGTTCAATAACAAGATGTTCACAGCCTTTATTAGGTTTAAAACAAACAAGATCAATTCAAGATGAAAAATTAATTGATGAAATTTTCAAAGCTTCACTATCCCAGGATTCTTCTTCCAAAATGAGGAAAAATTTGATTATTGATGCAAGACCAACAACAAATGCAATGGCTCAAACTGCATTAGGTGCCGGATCAGAAAATATGGATAATTATCCAAATTGTGAAAAATTATATTTAGGAATTGATAATATTCATGTTATGAGAGATTCATTAAATAAATTAATTGAAATTTTAAAAAATGGTGATTTAAATAAACCATCACCAAAACCAACCCATAAGATTAATAAATTAATTTTACAAAAAACTCAATGGTTAAAATATATTTCAATTTTATTATCATCAACTGAAAAATTAGTTAAATCTATTGTCTTGAATGATTCAAATATCTTGATACATTGTTCTGATGGTTGGGATCGTACTTCACAAATCTCATCATTAATTCAAATATGTATAGATCCTTATTATAGAACTTTACAAGGGTTTATAACATTAGTGGAAAAAGATTGGATATCATTTGGTCATAGATTTAATGAAAGATCAGGTCATTTAAGTTCAGAATCTATATTCCATGATGATTCACCAAATTCAATGAATAATCAAGCTTCAATTGCATTTAAATCAGTTTCAAATCATTTTAAAAAAAGAAAACATTTAAAATTAACATCACCTATTTTTCATCAATTTTTAGATTCAATTTATCAAATCCTTGTTCAATTTCCTGAAAAATTTGAATTTAATGAAAGATTTTTAAGAAGATTAATTTATCATTTATATTCATGTCAATATGGGAATTTTTTATTTGATAATGAAATGGAACGAGTTCAATTTCAATTAGATTCCAAAACAAGATCAGTTTGGGATTATTTCCTTTCAAGAAAACGAGAATTCTTGAATCCAAATTATATTAAACCAACAGATGAATATGATTGGATAAGTCCAAATTATAAAAATTTGATTTGGTGGTGGCAATTATATGGTAAAAGTGATGAAGAAATGAATGGTGATATAATTGAAAAAGATGAAGATAATGGTGTTGAATTAAAAGATGGTTTAACGAATTCAATAATACCTTTGAAGGAAGATAATAATAAAGATTCAACTGAAAAAACAAAAGATGAAGAAGGAAATTCAAAAATATTTGCATTAACATCACCTCCACCTTCAATTTATCAAATGAATACAAACTATAATGATAATGAACATAATGATAAAGATATTGATAGATCTATAAAAACTATAGAAGAAATGAGTATTACTTAGAATGTATATAATGAATGAAAAACTAAGAGTTATTGATTTACAATTGATTGTAGTATAATATTAGATCTCATAGTATTATAATATAAATAAATAGTCATACTTTTCACAGTTTTGATTTTGGTTTTAATTTAGCAACTTCTTCAGTCCATTTTATACCACTCCATTCACTAACCAAAATAGCCAATTGTCTAACTTGTTCAACTTCCTCCTCGGTAGCACCATTATTTAAAGCCCCCTTTAGATGACCTTTCAATTGTGGATTAACATCCTGAGGAACCAAACATGCAATTATAACAAAACTTGTTTCTTTAGCATTCAAGATATCATTATATGATAATAATGGTGAGTAAATATGATTTTTTGCATATTGCCATAAATCTGGATATGCAGTTTCCATTTGATTTATAATTCTTGTACTAACTTTACCATAAACTTGATTCCAAAAATCCTGGCCACGATTTCTAATAAATTGAGTATTTGAAATATCAAAATTTCTCTTTGTTTTCAATTCATGTAATTCAGTTGGTGTTGTTGTTTTTAAATACATTAAGGTGTTTATAGCTTTTGGAATTCCACCTAATGCAATACTTTTGAGGACAGATTCTCTTGATAATTGAGCTATATTAAATTGAGATTTAAAATTTGTTTCTTCATGAATATTATATAAATTTTCCACTTTTGTTTTAGCTATAGTTGATTGATCACCTTCGATATTTAACCTTTTAATAAGATTTATCCTAGATTGAGCATATTCAAATGATTTGACAGGATCAGAATCATGACCACCCAATTCATTTTGTTTTTCTCTTAGGGCATAATGAACTAATAATGAAACATCTTTTGGTTGATTACAGACCGATAATGTAGCAGCAGCAATGAAATACCATGAGTTTTTCAATAAAGGGAATGATGACAATTGAGCTAGTCTTGCTGGAGTCAGGATGGTCATTGTATGGGCTGTAGTTTGATTTGAAGAGATTTGTATGAGTTGAAGTATCAAATTATGGGTGTTTGATGGGGGCTTTTATATCAATTGTTTGGGGTTCCTTTATTAAATTTTGTGTCTGAATTCGATCCGGAAAGCATCGGAAGTACTGGGAATGACATGGGAATTGAGAAGAATTGGCTGATAATGGTGGTTGATAATTATTAGAATTAAGTGAAACTTGGTGGTAAGATAGTGATGAGTATACTGAATGTTACCATGTTTTTAAATTGAAAAAAGATACTCAATTGATGCTTCTATAGTAGTTTAAGCACCTAACAAAATACCGGCTTCCATACAAATTATATGTAAATTCCCACAAAAACCAAAAGTCACGTGCACAAATTGAGAATCAGATCACCAACTTTGCAATTTAATTTAATATCAAAAGAACAATGAACTATTTTGAATTTAGTCACCAGATAAGCACAAAATCCAATTCAATTCAATATCAGATATCACTGGAAGTAGGGAGCCATACACAATGAACCCATGGCCACAGCAAACGCCATCACAACAACAATCAGAGCTCCAGAGGCACAGTCCCCAGTACGATAATCCTCAGATGAGTTATCCATCAAATCAACATTTCTCACAACATCAACAGCATCAACAGCATCAGCAACAACTTTATTATTCCAATCAACAGCAACAGAACTACTCGTCACCACCACCACCGCCATTGTCATATCCTCCACCAACTCGTCATTCCTCTTATTACCAAGGTCAACCATATCAAGATCAATATCAAGAACAATATCAAGAGCATTATCCAACTTCAAATGGGTATATTGATCATAATAATAATAGGCCAAGATCAAACGATGATATAGAGGAGATATCTCAATCAACATTCCAAAATGGTTCTGTTTCTGGTTATAATGAACAATTACAAAGACGGTATAATTTCAATCATGATTCAAATAATAGAAATAGTATAAGTAGTTATCAAAATATTGGTTCAAAGACATATAATAATCATAATAATAATCATAATAATCATAATAATCATAATAATCATTATAATAGCATTCAAGTAAGTCCACCAAGAGGTATGGGCTTATACAATTCAAGTAAACAAATCAGTTCAAATTTCACTCAACCAATGTATCCTCAAATTCGTTCTAAATTTCCATTATCAGGACCTTCATATTCAATACCAAGTCATAATAATGGTCCAATGATTACACCAGTTTCATTTCTTTCATTTAATGAACCTTCAACTCATAATAAGATATTTATTTTAAGAGGTTCTTTTGAAAATTTAAGTAAATTATCTTTTGATTTTAAAGAATCTTCAATCGTGGAAAATGTTAAGATATGTAATCATGAAGGGAATTATATTTTATATCTAAAATATATTTCAAAACCTGATTTAGAATCTATAAATTATCATAAATTACAAAAATATATTGATTGTAAAGATCTTTATATTAAAGAACCAAATTTAATTTATATACCCAAAACAAATAAGAAATCTTCAATTAGTTCCAAAAAAATCTTAAAATTATTTAAAAAAAATTGTGGTGGTCATGATCCTTCAATTTCAAAAGATTCAAAATTTTATAAATTAAAAGGTGATGAAATTTTTATAAGAAGTGTATTACAACATTATGGTTCAAATTATAAAATTGAAGATGGGAAATTAATTTTAATATTTAAAGAATTAGAAAGTGAAATTGCAATGAATGTTATTGGTGATGATGATGATAGTTCTTCATCAGATTCTGATATTACCAATTCTCAAGAATCTTCAGCAAAACAACAACCAAAACAACAATCTTTATTAGCATTAACAAGACCTGGAACTACAAGAGTAAAATCAGTTCTTTTCAATTCTCCAAAACCAACTCCACAAAGGAAAGAATCCAAAAAAAGAATTGAGCCTATAACTCATGAAATTAACAGTGATGATGACGATGAAGAAGAATTCCATGATGTTAATGATGAAGATGATATAGATTCTCATATTTGGTCATTGCCAAATGATTCAAGTGAACCTAAAAAAATCAATTCCAATATGTCAAATAAAGAATTAATGCAAAAAATTGATGATGATAATGATGAAGATATTATAATACCTCATTCATCAAATCATTTTAAACAACAACCTAAAACTCAAATAATCTCATATAATCAATCAGATGAAATAGATGATGATCCAATAATAAGTTCACAACCTGAAATTGAACAATTTTATACACCAAAAACAAATTCAAGATCAAGATCATCATCATTAAAATCAATACCTATAACAAGACCAAATACATCAGATTCAATAACAAATATTAGAACATTAAGACAAAGGAAAGAAAAATCTTATAATGAAGCGAATTTAAGTTCAAATTTTAATTCACGTTCAAATTCTACAGAACCAGAATCTCAAATAATTTCGTCAGATGAAGAAGAATCAATCCCTACTAAAAAAATTAAAAAAAATCAAAAAATTGATGATGATTATAAAACAGAAGATGAAGAATTTGATGACCTTTTCGAAACTCATGATGGTGATGTTAGTGATGCAAAATATCAAGAAATGAATTCAAAATTAACTAAATCTGATCTTGATTCAAGATTTATAATCATTAGAAATATCCCAACAACAAGTGTTAAAAAGACAAAACAATTTATTGATGATTTATTAGAATTTCTTTATCCAACAAAATTAAAAATAATTTTCGTTAATTCTACTTTACAAGAAGCTTATTTAGAATTTGAAAAAATTTATGGAATAATTGAATCAATTCATAAAATTCATAATTCAAAATATGAAAATTCAAATTTAAATGTTGTTTTATTAAATAATCAATTTGCTAAACAAAAAATCAAAGATTCAAATATTAAATTTAATATACTTAAATGAAAGCTATGTCACATCACACTACTAATATATGTTCATAGAATATCATGTTATTAAATAAATATGTTTGTAGCTTACTATACCTACTCTAATATACAATCATCTGCATATGTTTATAATTCATTACCTCTTATCCATTTCTTCGCAAAATCATCTTTTAATCTATTACCTTTCCCCCATAAACCCATTGACCAAAAATGCATTGAATTGAAAACAGGAGCAAATAACCCAGTAGAATCATTATCAGGTTTAATCATACTTGCATTATTAAAATTTCTTCCAGTCATAAAATTATATTCATTATCTAAATCCAACATATCATCATATTGTTTTTCACAATTACTTAATTGTTCAGATTGTTTAAATTCCCATGGTCTCATTGATTGATCCACTGGAGTCCATTTCCCTTCCATTCTCCAATGTAATGAACCTGTCATTTCCTTAATACGACTAACCGCTCTTTTATATGCGAATTTTTCATCTTCACCTGTGAATGCCTTACGATCTGTAAAATTTGTTGAACTTAGATCCATGTTTTTCATTATTGGTTTATTTGAATTCTCAGTTTCTGTATAGACAATTGATTCATCATCATAATATGAAACATTTGGTCTATAAGGAGCCGTTAAAGCGATTTGAGTTTTGGAAAACATTTCTTCATCTTGAACTTTAATTCTATTTGCCTCGTCTTGTTCTTCTTTTGTTAAAATATCTTCAGGGAAAAATAAATTATCAGGTGAAATTTCCATCCTTAAAAAGACTTTACATTTTGATTCATATAATGCATCTAATAAAGTTATGAATCTTCTTGCTTCATTTTTCATTGAAGTTTTCAAAATTGGAATATTATCAATAATAAAAGTATGATAATTTGATGCAAGGGAGATATAATCACCTGGTCCATATAATCCAGCACAAATTTCATTGAATTCAAATTTAACAATACCTGAATTATACCATGGTATGGTTAAATCACGACCATAAACTGTAATTTTATCCAATGAACCATTTTTTGAATCCAAAACATTAACATTTGGTATTTCATTTTTTAATAAATTTTCCCAATTTGATTGATGATTAGAATCTTCTTTAGAAACCAAATAATTTATTGAATTTGAAGAATCTTTCATCAAGATATCACGATAATCATTTTCAGAATTCATATCTAATGAATAACATCTTGCCTCAAGAACTCTTAAAAAGGATCTGAACTCTTTTTTCCTAAAATCTGTTGCATAAAGATCTTCAGGTAATCTATTTGATGTAGCAACAAGAACACCACCTAATCTAAAGAAATATGTGAATAATAATTTAACAATTTTTGCAGCAGCTAAATCTGGTAACATAAATTCATCTAATAATAATACTGTATTTTTTTGAATCATTTTTTGTGCAATTTCAAACAAGATGAACTCATTATCTAATGAGTTCATTGCAGATGCAGAACCACCACTTTTTGATGATTTTACTCTTCTTTGATAAATTAAATGAATTTCATTATATATCCAAAGCATAAAATTTGAATAATGCCAACGACATTTAGAATCATGAGGTAATGAATTTGCAAAAATATCCATCAACATTGATTTCCCACAACCTACTTCACCATTAATTATTAAACCATGAGGCGAGGGGAAATTTGTTAATTGTTCTTCATCTGTAAGAACTTTAATTAAATCTTGAGTTTTGCTGATTTGTGGTTGATACCAACTTGGTTTAAATTTTGAAGAAGAAGAAGATGAAGACATTAATTGATGCTTATTTTCAATTTCTCGAACCAATTGTTTGATTTTGAATTGTAAATCTATTGGTGGTTTATAATCTTTAACTCTGTAATATAATTTTTGGAATTCCACAGCAGCTCTTAATTGATTTGAATCAGGTTTTAAAACACCTCTAGAGACATAGTTTTGATAAATTAATAATGGATCTGTTAATGATACAGCAGTTGAACTTGGAGGAGTATAATTCTGATGCTGACTATGATGATGTGGATCTTGTTCATGATGATGATGATGAGTTGAAGTTGTATAAGAATCAGTTAATATGGTATCATAGTTATAGAAATTACTTGGGATTGGTAGACGACCATTGACACCTTGAGGACCAGTTGTATGTTTTGAATAATAACGATTGAATAGACTCGTTGATCTTCTTTGGATCAACTTTAGCATTGATTTATTTGACCTTGTTATCATTGTGACAGATTATGCGGGTGAGATATGAAGTAACCTTGAGCACCAAATACCAATGGGAGCTATCACCAACTAGAATATGATTGATACAATCCAAGATCTAAAACAAATGGATAAACCAATGTTTATATTGTTCCCTGTGATGAGCTCTTAAAAAAAATTCTTTATCGTATATTTCTTTTATTTTAAAGTGGTGTTTTTATCTTTTTAATCAGTAAATTTTTATACCGTGCACGAAATTGGGTGTACTCAATTCACATGGAATCAGAATTTACGTGGGTGTAGGCAGGGTTTCTCAGGTGGTTTCAACTAATTCCTTGTGGGTAGTCTAGGCAGAGATACAAAGGTGTGTTTGCTGGGAAAACAGGGCCAGAAAAGTTGGTTATTTTACGGTGTTTGGAGCGTTGTTAATTGTTGGTTATATTAGGAAATGTTTGACGATTAAATGCTTTTATTTTACTTTATTTTAATTTCTAATATACACAGTTCTCGAAACCAATTCCATTTCTTCTTCATAACCTCCAGTAATAAATATATTCACAAGGATATTCTTGATTGTCTCTTATTAACCACTATTTGAGATCCACAAAATACAAAAAATGCTAAATAAACACCAGCAGCCCAAAAAACAGTATGAGCGACACTTCAATAGTTAGTAAAATATAACTTTTATCAAACAACACAATGTAACTCACGCTTTACCATCCTCAGGATCATTAGTAGATCCCATCATACTTTCATGATTTGTATTAAATAAATAACCAATAAATGTTAGGATAACCATCCCAAATGCTGATAAGACGGTACAAAACCATGCTTTTGGAGGCTAATAAACGGTGTTAGTCAAATGGACACAATACCAGATACACAATCTCTTCTATACCCACTGAAACAACAGCCTTCATTATAATATCAATTCAATCTTGTTCCCTTTCACTTTCAATTCTTTTCAATTTCCTTCTCATTTCCTGTTTCTTTGCAATTTCCCTTTAAAATCAAAAAGCTGCCAGAAAATTCGCGAATATTAAAATCGGAGGGTAAACTTAGGTAATCAGTGGCACAAGGGTTATGTAATCATATATTAATTCAAGCTTTAATACCAGTATAGGTGTCATTATCAATTGATTTTTAGTTTATTAGAATCATAGAGTGTTGATTAGTATAGGTGGGTATATAGAAGATGATATTATGGTTATTAACATGGTGTATTTCTATGTTTCCCTTCATTTCCCATACAAATTTCCTTCATCAATCGCTTAATTTTTAAATTTCTTTTCAGATTCAACGTATGCAAAATTGTGATCGCTTGCATAATTGAATAAGGAATTTTGAAGTCCAATACTAAAACAACTACAAAGAGTATTCATAAATATCATCACACATAACTTATACATACTTTCTACCGTAGTACCTAGTTTGGTTCTTTTACCTCCCTGATCTTGTTGATCTTGTTTTCCTAGAATCTATATTAATCGCAGGTAATCCATGATTCATTGTTATTTCTAATTTTTGATTTCCTAAAACTTTACGCTTTTTAATTGGTTTTATAGTAGGATTTGATATTTTTGATGTATTATCACTTGATTCTGAACTTTCTTCATGGCCATTACTACTATCATTTGATGATAAATTTATTTCTTTATCTGGATTATGAGTATCATTTGATTTGAATTGATTTATTGTTGATTGTTGTTGTGATTTTTTTATTTGTTTTTTCTTATATTCAAGGATTTTGAATAATCTTTTCCAATTTTTTAATGTTTTAACTATTTGATTTGATTCGGATTCCCAATTTGATTCAGTTTGTATAGAAATTTGTTTATAATTTTGTAAATTTTTTAACAATCTAGATTCAATATTTATATGATTTTGAATTAACTCATTTGAAACTTGATCTTGAGGTTTTTCATATTCTTGTAATTTTGGAGGATATTTAAAGCTAAATGGATAAGATTCTTCATCTAATTTTGAATAATAATCCTGGTCAATTGGTGTAATTTTTTCATTCAATTTTGGTGGAATTTTATTGCTATTGATATCATTGGTTTCATTGTTATCATCACCATTTGTATCATTAGCCTCATTGAGTAAACCATTTGTATCAACTTCATCAGCAATTTTATCAACTTGATCAATAACAACTTCTTGTTTAACTTCTTTTGTATTTCCATCATCTTCCTTTTTAACCAATTCTTCACTCCGTATATCATCTTGGTAATTTTGAATTGAATCTAATTCCATTTCATCATTTTCTAATTTAACTTGATTTATATCTAATTGTTGTTCTTCTAATCCTTGAGAGATTGTTCCTTCATCCTGTGATTCATCCGCTTTACTTTCAGTTTTATTTTCTTCCCCTTCATCTACTTTTAATGTATAACGAAACTTAACCATAAACTGTCTATCAGGAGTCGGACGTTTTGGTGGTATGATTTTAATTCTTGTCATATTGTAACTAGTCTTCTTAACGTATAAATCTTTATTAAACCTCTTTACTATCCTTTGTATTTAGTTTTATAAAACTTGTTGATATTCAAAAACCTTATAAAATTCTTGAACAAAGTTTCAAATTTATGTTAGTGCAGGATTTTAACGCAAAAATTTAAAAATCGAACTGTATGCATAAAATTTAAACGTCTAGAGTTAAACAATGTTTAAATCTCAAATTGATTTATAACTAATAGATCTTTATTCTTTCTAATGCAAATTTCTAATATAAGATTGTATGAGTTAAGTATTTAGATCAAGTTTCAGTTATTACGTAGCTATTTGATTAAACTGACGTTCCCGGTAAAGATCTTCAATGCCCCTGATGTATTTTTGAAAACTTTGATTATCGGATTTTTGAAAAGAGGTACATAAATCTATAAAACTACACAAACTAAAACCTCAAATTAAGATGCAATTAAATAGCTCTTTATATTATACAATGGTATATACTTTTGTTTATAAATCATCAAATCTACGAATACCATGTTCATGACTTAATTGATTTTTTAATTGTTTTGGTGTTAATTTTTGCTTTTTAGATTTTTTAATTGGTTCTTGAATTTCATGTTTTTTACTTTCAGGTTCAGGTTTAGGTTCAGGCTTTTCTTTTTCTTCATCTTGTTGCTCTTCCTCTTCACTTGCTGAACCTAAATCTTCCCAAACATCACTACCAGATTCTTTATCATCACTAAATCCTTTAAATTCATTTGATTCTTCATCATCTTCATCATCTTCATCATCTTCATCTTCTTCTTCACTATCTGATAATTCTTCTGAAAATACTTCTTCATCCTCATCCTCATCATCATCATCATCATTATTCCATAATTTTAATTTATCCATACCTGCACTAATTAATCTATATTCAAAATCTAAATCTAAAAATGAAACTTCATCAATTGAACCATGAATTCTTGTTTCAATAACTTGACCTTTTTTAGCATTAATCTTAGAAATTGAACCATTTGAACATCCTGCCCATATACAATCATCATTATTTAATGTACTTATAACTGAATCAATACTTTCATCTTTTGAAACTTTAACACGAGATAATTGATCAACATAATCATTTTTACTTTGTTTCCATATTGTAACAATACCTTCACCCATACCACAAACTAATGTATCCCCCTGGGTTGGATCAACAAATGTACATGATAAAATTTCATCTTCTTGATTTTCTGAAGTCATTTTTGGTTCTTGTTTTCTAATATCCCAAGTTGATAAAGTTGTTGAACCAACTGATAAGAATTGATATGCAGATTTATGAGATAATTGAATTATATTATTTATAGCATCATCATGAACATTTTGAATTATATTAATTTGTTTTAAATTTATATCGAAAATTCTAATATTACCAACTTCATCACCTGTAATTATAAAAGGATGAGTCTGAGATTTAATAATCTTGGTAATTAAAACTTTTGAATCAATTTCAATTTTTTTTAAAACTTTACCTGTAATTGCATTTGCTCTTTTGATAACATTATCTGAACCAACTGTATAAATTTCATCACCTTCTGCATTAAAACAAATTGAACGAACACTACCTTTATGTCTCTTAGTTTTCCAAATTGTTTTTATACCATTATTTAAATCATCTTCACTATTTTTAGAAATTAAATGAACTTTCCAAAATTTTTGTTTTTTTTTGGATTTGGAAGATGATTCTAATTCTTGTTTTTTTGATTTTGCCTTTTCTTTTTCTTCTTTAGCAATTGATTCTTTTTGATCATGTTGATAAACTGATAATTTTGTTGAATCATATTCAATCATAAATACATAACCATTTGCTAAACCTGATACAATTATTGGTTTTGTTGGATGAGCTGCAAGTGCAAATAATGGAGCATCATATTTAAATTCTAATAAAGGAGAAACATTTGATTCCAAGATTGTGGATTGTCCTTTTTTACTTGATTTCTTACCCATGTTTTGTCTATTTGATTATTTTCCCACTTCAATTGAATATTACTTGGTTTATTCTTGTTGTTGTTCAAAGAGTTTATGTAAACATGGGTTAGAAATTTTTTTTTCTAATAACCATACCTTGCGTCCCATACCAAAACATAACCACCATACTAAAAATTAAAAGCTTCAAATTTTCTTAATTTGTTCTTTTTTTAATATCTTCAACAACTTCACTCAATTCAGGAAATTCAGAGCTGATTTTTTTACCTAAAATTTCTCTTAAATCTTTCATAGCAGCCATTTTACCACGAAGATATTGATTTGATTTTCTTGTAGCTTCAACAAATTCTCTTGTATAAACATCAGGATTTCTACCATCTTCAATATATTCTAAAACATCTCTTGGGATGGGGACTTGGTCTAATGCTGATGATTCAGGTTTTTGTAGTTTACCTAAAGTTTCAATTGTTTCATTTAATCTAATTGCTAATGCATCTTTTGAAGATTCTGTACCTTGGAAATCATGAACAATCACACCTAATTCAATGAAGGATTCAATTAAACTGGCCAATGTGTCTCTTGTCTGGTTGATTGCTTGTTCTGTATCGGTGCTCATGGTTCCTTATATTCTGGGTTGTCTTTTGATTTGGTTCAATAAAAGTTTTGTTGATTGATTAACCGCTGAGTTTAGTTTGTAATTTGAAAAGTCGCGTTTAATTTAATTAAGTACTTGTGAATTACGAGGGTGTTGAAAAATATTGGAACGTGATATTCACGTGGTGTTGAATACCCTCGTATTTCAATTTCATAAAAGAAACAAGGGTTTACTACTAGACTATAAACAAAAGGTTTAAATCAGTTGATGTAAGCGGTTTTGCTATTACTTCATCTGAGGAGATGATCTAGATTAAATCTAGTCTTGTGTAATGATTATATAGTTGATTTTAGTTTATCTCGGTTGTTAGTTTGTATAATATAATTGTAATGGTATCAATTCTCAAGCCACAAGGTCTATAACCTCTCTATTGATAACTACTTGTGGCTAATTGATCGCTATCTCTATTCACTGTTCAGTGTAGAAAGTACTTCAAGTCCGAATTTACCATTAGTTAACCGTTATTCCTCGAGGAAACTTGAAAGTTGCTTCAAGCCACACAGGAAAATTTTTTCTTTCAAGCCACAATCGAAATTGAAATGCACATTAGCCACTAAAATTTTAAGATTTCTTAAATTTTAAACTGCTATAATGATAAATTTTCACGTGACTTAGTATATAAATATTGTAATTACAAATACAACAAGAAAAAAAAAACTTGTTTATAATCAAAATTTAATCTTATAATTTTTATAAAGATCAAATAAATTCCTGCATATATACACTATACAATAAAAGATCATATACTTCACCATTAACGAGAAGCTAATTTTTTTTGTATGTACTATACTAATAG